TTTGCGTGTAGAAGTTATAGTGTAGAATAGGTGTGTGTTCTTAGAGAGTACAAACCAAACCCTATACCTCCCTTGTTCCATCTTCCTTCTGATTATTACGTTATTCTAACATTCCCAACAATATGCCTGTTTTTTGTGCCCTTGTGCATACACGGAACAGCTGTTGGCTTTGATTGTAGGAGCTACCCCACAGCTCAAAGCTATATTTTGCAATCCTCATTCTCCTCTTTTGTTTCTTGAAGACAACCTTAACATTTGCGGGTAAAGTCATGAAATGCCCTTCATATGCTTGCAATGCTCTTCTTTGCGATACTAGCAAGGCACTGAATGTGGAAGGCAATGTTTTGCTACTGTATCACTCAAAGCACTAATGCACTTTTTAGTTACCGTATTCTCCCAGATAAAACACCCAGGGGTGTTAGTAAAAACCCATGTAAAATTTCGAGGGGGTATAATTAATGGCACATTTTGTATAACGCCCGAGGGCTATGGAATGACACTTTTATGTTTATGAAGTGTAATTGAGCTGTATTGTAGACAGTTCTTTTGTGCCAGATTTTGACGATTCTTGCACATGATCGCGTATATGGTGAGGAGGACCATCGTCATGCTACAATGCAGGCAAACACTCACAGGTTGCCTGCGTTACAGGTTGTCACGTTCTATCAGATCGTGGTGGCAAGTGGCAACCTCGACGCCACAATGTGACAGCGCACGAAAGCCGGAAGGAATCTGCTGCAAATTCCTTCACGACCCAACCAGGGCCGACCGACATGGATTCTCCCTCGCTGCAGTGTTGACTGTGAGGAGTGTGTTCACATGAGCCTCGTATCAGACTCGCAACATTCGCCTGAGCGACGAGAATTCCATGCATGGTAACAGTTCTACACCGCATTGAACCACTTCGCGTCGAGCTTGCACTGCTCAGTGGCGCAAGAGTCTGATAAGAGACACTCTGATAAAAGGCAAAATCTAAAGAAATACAGTGAAAATGAACCAGGGGAGTGGTGTATAGGTTTCATGCCAAAAACTAGGGTGGTATGAATATCCAGTTTAATAAAGCACCCAGGTCCGCCCAAACCACCCATGGGTGATTTAATTCCGGCGGGTGTTTTATCCGGGGGAATACGGTATGAATTGCAGAGGTGCTATAGTCCCATGCGTCATGCTTGTACTTGGTAGAAATCTCGTGAAAGGTGAGTTTCGAATTGCAACGGTTCTTTGTTCTTTGTTTTCAGTGCCGTTCTTATGCTGTTCTTGTATTCTCTCCCTTCTTGCTAATGTGCCGATTTGGTTTATCCAGGTCCTGCAAGCTCAGAACTTGGAATTCGCACTACAGTGGCAATTACTCGTGTTCGACTTCTCATCATACCAGCATCCGGGTTAATGCTGGTGCAGACAGCCACATACTTGGGGTATGAACCAAGTCAGATGTTCATTATTTTGTGTGGGTTTGAAGAGCTGGGCTCAGTTTGTTAATGCCTCACGATCCGTTATCCTACTGCTGCTTCTTGCAGCTTCTTGCTGCTTCTTGCAAGCTTCTTACTGTACATCATCTGATGTTCAATTTCGTCCTCTTGTTACAGCATACGATGCCAACTTCAATCCTGACAGGTACATCACTTTTTTTTCTTGTCTGCTTCATGCGTGACCTGCCTAAGCATTGCTATAATCTTGTGTTCATATGGTACCGTAATCACCCGGATAAACGCCCCTAGGGGCGTTTATAGGACTGGTTTGAAAACGTGGGGGGGCGTTTAATTGAATCAAAATTATACGCCCATGGGCGTTTAAAAATATATATTGTCGAATTGATATTTATACATCAGATTGTAGCTTTTGCTTTGTTTCATGCAATGGGATCACTTTTGACGAAATTCTCACATCCATCGCGCTGAAAGTCCAGTCGGCAATGTGCCAAGCTGGAAACAGGCTACTTTGACGCGAAGTTGTTAAATTATATATGTTAGTATATAATTGTAGGCTTGGTAGACGTTACTGAACATTAATGTAGAGGGTACAATACCCCTCCTTGTATCCCTCTCTATTCTTTTCTAGTCCTCGTTCCTCTCGTAACTTCTTGCCTAGCTCCCCCTAGCTAAACCTCACGCCATTGTCATGACGTCCTAGTCCCTATTTTAAGACATGGTTTCAGAGCACGACGCCCTTCCTGGGCCTGCTCCCCTCGCTTCCGCTGCGTACCCGTTCCCTGTTCGCCACCGTCGCGGCCTTCCGTTTGCCTGCCGCCGTGGCACCTTCTTCGAGATGCCGCGGCGGCTTCTTGGTGCTGCCGTCGCAGCTCCGACGAGCAGCCGCGGCTCCGACGCCACGTTGTGGCGCCGTTGTAATGGTGTCGTGGCTGCGTCGTCGGGCTGCAGCCGCCGTGTGCCGCCTACGGACGTGCAGCCCGCCTGCACGCCAGTAAGTGCCGCGCCAGCAATGGCGCCGCGCTGAAGATCCAAAGCCCCGCCCCTTCCCCCTCCCCTCTGTCCCCTCCTCTTCACCACAGCCGCCGCCTGACTGCCGTCGGTCGTCCCCCTGTCGCAGAGTTTGGACACGCCGCCGAAAGGGCGGGGGCCGCTGCCGTTGCCGCAGTCGTAAGCCGAAGTCGTCGCCGTCGGCGCTGTCGTCGCCGTAGGCCTGTTGCTGCCGCACGCCACCGTCGCCGTCGCTGTCGCTGCTGCCGGGACTGCCGCCATCGCCATTTCCAGGGCCTTGGGGTTGGCCCTGCTGGAGTAGTCGTGGCTGCTGGGAATGGGGGTGCTAGGTTAGGGGGTGTGGGGGTGTGTGGGTCCTTCTACTACCAAGCCTAGGGGGTGTGTTAAATTATATATGTTAGTATATAATTGTAGGCTTGGTAGACGTTACTGAACATTATTGTACAGGGTACAACACCCCTCCTTGTATCCCTCTCTCTTCTTTTCTAGTCCTCTTTCCTCTCGTAACTTCTCGCCTAGCTCCCCCTAACCTCACGCCATTGTCATGGCGTCCTAGTCCCTATTTTAAGACAGAAGCTTGCTGGCGCGAAGAGCCAAAGGGCGCAAATTGCGCTTCTGGCTGGCACAGGGTGTGGATTCTCTCTATTACTCGAATTCGTTTCGTCGTTTCGTACAGTGTTTTACGAAATAAAAGCGGGGCGTATAGGGTATACACTTTATAAAAATAAGGGGGGGCGTTTAATGGAATAATAGCTATAAGGCCCAAAGCACGAGATAAAGCCCATGGGACTTATCCCACGGAGGGGCATCTATCCTAGTGATTGCAATATGCTGTCAGGTGCGGTTGCAACACTTAATGGGCATGGAGAAAAAGAAGCTTCTTCCATTTTATTATGGGGGCACATACTCTCTATTTTCACAATGGCATTTTGGCTTACAATATATTTGAGCTTTTTGAAGTAATTATCGGATGTGTATATTGTAAATATAATAGCTGCATTTTAGGATGTTCTTGCTTACATCCCCCTGGCTGCCAGAAGGACCTTTCCCTTCGCGTCATCTCTTCTTACCAACGGAGCATTTATAACGGAGATGAATGCACGAGGAGCGTGAGGTGGGGACCACAGGATCGGGCTCTCTTCTGCATGCACCTTCTCCTGTCCTGGCCCTGTCTTACGCTGAAATGAGAAGCTGAGCCCCGTCAGAAGGAGATGGATTTCGCAGCTAGTTTGCGGTGCTGACGAGGACGGTTCGTAGTGTGACGTTTCAATAGACTCCCTTCCCTTGGGACACGGCAGCAGGCTGTGAATGCGTGCGTGGCTGCATGGAGGTTCTCCTGCCCTTTTGTCTCGAGTGTAATAGCAATTGGGAACCACAATTATCCGACGCGCACAACGACTGCCTCCTCTCCGACCTGCTTACGTAAAAGCGACAGTCTCGTTCGCTGCTCGTGCTTCTGTTCTTCTGCAGCTAAAGACGGCGCTTATGTTTCTCCAGCCGTCGTATCTTTGAGTTACGCCGACCCGTGGTTTCCGTCGAATCCCCGCGACCGTTTCCGCCCGACGTCGTCAGGAAGCTAGATCCTTCGGTGACGGTAATCGTCTCAGCTAGATTAGGTAATCTTTTGACCATTGTAGTATCTTTTGACGTCTTCAGGAAGCTAGATCAGTGTTTATGAGTATCGTCCGAGATCACTTGACCCGCCACTGCTTCCCGGATCCCCAGCCTATAGCCCAGGCTTCTCGCACGTTTCGAATCTTTTCTTTCGCCGACTGTCGCCTGTCGTCTCCAGTCGCACTGAATAATCGCCAATTGCTCTTCCATAGTAAAGCCTCAGTCGCCAGCCCGAGCCTGCAGTCGCCATAGTGTTGGAGTGGTTCCACCACCCACGACGGACTACTCGTGACTTGGGGTGACGAGGAGAGAAGTGCGGACTTGGGACGAGAAGGAACTAGGAAGCGGAGAATATTGCGTGAGCGTCACCCGTCGCCAGTCGCCAGTCGCCAGTCGCCAGTCGCCAGCTGTCGCCTGTCGCACACCATGACCCCAGGCCTGATCAACCCGAATCCGAAGCTTCACGAGCGGAAAACGCGGACCTCTACGGAAGCGCGGCCTCCGGTCGCGGAAGGGGAGCGAGAGTTAATCGACGCTGCGGAAGTTTTCGATATCCTCCTCACGAAGACAATTACTCCTCTTGTTCCCGGGAATTAATGAGTGAATAGATTGGCGCGCGTGCGAGCCTGTTTGAATTGGCCTCCTCTCTAACCTTCTTCCAGAACCCTTTTTCGAGATTCGTCCTGCTTACTGCTCATCTGACGATCAGTTTGCTCCTTAACCGGCCCCTCTCTTCCTCTCTTTCGTTCGCTTTCTCCGTCCCCCTATTTTTCTCCTCAATCAATCCCCTTCTCTTCCCCTTTCCTCCTCCTCTCTCTCCCGCTCCCCCTCTCCATCCCTTCCCCTCTCTCTCTCCTCTCCCACCTAAATCCAACTTTCTCCCCCCTCCTTTCTGCTCTCTCCCACTCCGTCACTCCTACCGTCTGTCACAATCCTTTCGTCTTATGTCTCTGGGTTCCTCTCCGCGCCCTTTTTCAACCCGTCGCTCGCCCGTCTCTCGTCGCTCGCCCGTCCCTCGTCGCTCGCCCGTCTCTCGTCGCTCGCCCGTCCCTTGTCGCTCGCCCGTCTCTCGTCGCTCGCCCATCTCTCGTCGCTCTCTCGGCTCTCGTCGCTCTCTCGTCTATCATGGCTCTCTCGCCCTTCGTTTGCGTCTCGCGGCCAGCACAGCACATTCGGGACATCAGTGACCCCGAGCACCCGTACTCGTTAGAGCAGCTGGACGTGGTGAACGAGGAGAACATAGAGTGCGACGATGCCGGCAGCCACATCACGTACGTATAAGTTCATATTTCGGCATTTCTTCCCTTTCCCCTTCCCCTTTCCCCTTCCCCTTTCCCTTGCCCTTTCCCCTTCCCCTTTCCTCTTCCCCTTTCCTCTTCCCCTTTCCTCTTCCCCTTTCCTCTTCCCCTTTCCTCTTCCCCTTTCCTCTCCCCTTCCCCCTCCCCTTCCCCTTTCCCCTTCCCCTTTCCTCTTCCCCTTTCCTCTTCCCCTTTCCCTTCCCTTTCCTCTTCCCCTTTCCTCTTCCCCTTCCCCTTTCCCCTTCCCCTTCCCCTTTCCCCTTCCCCCTCCCCCTTCCCCTTCCCCCTCCCCTTCCCCTTCCCCTTCCCCTTTGCGCCCCACCACCCTCCCCCTTTGCTCTCCACTGCCCTTTCGTGTGTGAGCCCTTGCCTGGTCATATTCCTGCGTCCACCTGGCTTCGTTGGTTTCCCTGCCCTCCCCACCCTTTTCTGCGATGCAATTACTATCTACCACTCCCCGTCCCCTTTCCTGCCTCCTTTCTCTTTCCCCGTCTGAGCCACCCTCCACCCCCCTTACAAGCATCCGCGTTACTTCTTCAGTGCAGCATGGCCGATAATGAACCCGTTTACACATACTACTTCCTCTCACCCATGCTCTGGTGACTTTTGAGTTGGTTTAAAAGTCACAAAGCGGACATTATTGCCACTCACCCACGCCACACTCCTCCTTACTTCTTCCCTCCGGCGTTCCCATCGTCCCCCTCAACAGCGTCCGCTTTACCCCTACAGTGCAGCACTGTAGCATGGCAACCCTTATCGGCCTCTCAATACGAGTCAAGCTCATGAGATGCCTACCCAGAAGATTCAAGGTAAGCCAGTGGAGTTTAGAGCGGTGGAGAACAGGTTTGGCGAGGTTTATGGGGGTTTAGTGTGGCATATTATAGGCTTGTGGGGTTTCTAGGGTCAACATGGGTCTTGGTTAGTTGTGTCTCTTACCTGGTACCCCTGCCGTATCTTTTGCTTTGATTCCAGTATTTTACTTGATTATTTTTTTTGTCTGCTTCAAATGTCGCATATGATGTCTGGTTTATGTGTTCAGTCTTGATGGCTTCTCTTTTTCTGGTTAATGTGTTCAGTCTTGATGGCTTCTCTTTTTCCTCTGGCACTGTTACATCTTATCACACATGGTTACTTCCCTCCTTCTCATGTTGCCAGGTGGACATTCAGCTATCTCCTGGATCGCACGCATCGGAAACAGAAGGTATGCCCTAATAGTAACTAAAATAAAAGTTACGCTGAAATAAAATTCAGGCTGAATTGTGGTAACAGAGGGTACTTCCCTGTCGTTCCGTTCTCGTCTTGAAATCCACGTTTGATTATTCCCTGATTCCTGTGCGTTGGGACAAATGTTTTGCTTACCCATAGTAGTCGCCCGATCAGCTCTCTGGGTGCTTGCACGTCGGAAACCCCGCCTCTTCCCCTGCCAGCCCCCCACCTTTCTTATCTTCTTCCCTGGCTTTCGCTTGTCTGCCTGGTGTGCCTGCAGTGAACAAGCAGTTGAACGACACGGAAAGGGTTCTTTTGGTTCGACTCAAAAGCAGTCCCCCTGTCTCCCCCCCTGTCTGTCCCCCTGTCTGTCTCCCCCCTCCCCCCCCCCTTCCCCCCCCCTTCCCCCCCCCCCGTGTCTGCCCTGTGTGCGTGCAGTGAACAAGCAGTTGAACGACAAGGAAAGGGTGGCCGCAGCACTGGAGAACCCGAACCTCTCAGACATGGTCGACAGATGCCTCGTGCCCTCCATGTGACTGCCTGCCCTCAACAGTCGGTCTAGACTCTAGAGTCTCTAGAGATGTCAGGGGGCGGGGGGAGGGTGGGCTTTGACCATGCCTGAGTGGGAGGCAGAAGCTCTGGCGAACCCGGACCTTTCAGGCACGGTCGACAGATGCCTCGTCCCCTCCATGTCTGCTTTCATTAGTCTGTATAGACTCTTCTAGAGATGGCATTTATGGGGCTCCACAAAACATGTCTTGGTGGGAGGCAGCTGCTCTTGAGAAGCCTACCCAACCTCTCAGACACGGCTGACAGATGCCTTGTGCCCTCTCTGTGTCTTGCGAGTGTTCTAAGCCCCCTAGTAACACTCGAGCCTGCAGGACAGGAGAGAGGAGCACCGCCCCAGCCAGTCAAAACATGCTCAGCAGATGCTTCATCGTCCCCCCACCGTGTGTGTGACTGCCTGCCTTCCTGCTGTCAGCAGTCTAGTCAAATGAACCCACCCACCCAGCCTCCGTGTGTGTTATTGTCTGAAAGTTTTTGTAAGGAATTATAATTCCGTACTGTAGTGTAGGCTTTCTAATACAGTATGTTAAGCTGTCCGGTGGGTCCTTTTCACTACCACACTGTAGTTGGGATGAAACACCATAGCCTGATGATATGTTGAACCCTCTGAACTTTAGCACTGTAAGCCAGCCAGCCAGCCAGCCAGCCAGCCAGCCAGCAGTCTTTACTCATGACAAAGTAAAAAAGAATGCTGACTACAAGACCACCCTGCCCTGCCAGGCTACTACGGTACCACTCCATCATCACTCATCAAGCATCCATAATTTCATATCTCGGAAGCACTTCGCCTTGTGCTTGCTATCCATACCACAGTTATTATGAACCGCAACCAACCTCCCCCTCTGTGCTTCAAACCACTCCCGATTCCCCACTGCCAACCACCCAGGGGGGAACAGAGGCACAGGCAACACCCCTACAGACGCTCCTCCCTCCCCCTCCCCTCCAGCCTCCACCATACGTGCTATGGCTCGGTTCATGCAGGCCTGCAAGCCCGTGGTTCGTAGCTTCCCGAACCTGAACCGGAGGCTCGGACCCGAACCAGAACCGTCGTCGCTGCTGCCGCTGCTGCTGCCGCTGGGTGTGGTTTCTTGAGGGACAGTCCCTATTTCCGCTGCTTTTCTCCTGTGGTTAGAGAAGGCCTGCCGGGCCCACTCTAAAGTGAAATGCTTAGTGGGTGGGGATGGGCGGAGGGCAATCAACCAGATAGACAGAAAGCCTAGCTGCTGAAGGGAAAGTGGTGCGGTGGTGGCAGTGGCAGTAGCAGCAGCAGCAGCCCCAGCATCAGCAGCAGCAGCAGCAGCAGGTATGGGAGCAGTCGGATCAGCAGGGGCAGTGGATATGACCGAGGGGTTTGGGGATGGGAAGGAGGCGGCGGAGGAGGGGAGGAGAGCCAGGGAGAGGGAGGGGGAGGAGGGGATGGTGGTCAGAGAGGGGGATTGGTCTCGGAAGGAAGGTAGGATGAGGTTGAAATTGGGAGAGAAGAAGGGGAAGGGGTCTTTTAGCCACACGGTGCTGACGTCACTGCATCGGAGAGGGGGGGGGAAAGGGGGCGGAATAAGAGAAACAAGGAGAGTGAGAATGAGTGGCTTGGGAATGGGGAGAGGGTGTGTGTGTACATGTGTACATGTGTACATCTGTTAATCGACACTCGTCGGCGGAACAGAATGGTAGTCGGAACAACATCCATAAGTGCCTTGAGGGCGTGTCTGTAGTACAAAGCAAGAGGAAGAAAAAAGTGAAGGCCCTACCCCACTGCAGGGAACCGTGCTTCACCACACTAAACCTCACTTCACCGTGTCACACTCCATTGGAATACCTGTTCACTGTGTTCTGCTCTGCTTGCATGAGCTGAGCACCCAAGAGTGCTGGTAGGGCAGGGCGCACCCCAGAAGCATTGGCCGAGGTGAGGGAACTTGGGCATCAACCCTACCTCATTGCATCGAACCGTGCTTCACCGCATCAAACCACATCGTACCTGATGATCGTATTCTGCTCTGCCTGCATGAGTTGAGCAGCCAAGAGTGCCGGCAGGGCGGGGCACACTCGAGAGGCATTGGATGAGGGGACTTGAGTGGGGAAGGGCAGCAGGTGGTTGCTGAACCCAGGGATGGACGCTGCTACAGCCTGGAGTGAGTATGGGAGGGAAAGGGAGGGAAGTGCAGCAGGTGATTGCTATAACGAGGACAGAGGCAGGAAGGGAGTAAGTTGACTGGGAGGGAAGGGCAGGAAATGGTTGCTGAGCCCAGAGATGGACGCTGCTACAGCCTGGAGTGAGTATGGGGGAGAGAGGGAGGGAAGGAAGGCAGGTGCTGGTTACAGTGGGAAGGGCAGCGGGTGGTTACTGAACCCAGGGATGAACGCTGCTATGGAAAGAGCGACTGACTGACCTTTTCAGCCACGGCAGCCACGAACCTCCCACCGAATCCAAGGAGCGAGATGCCCTTGAGCCAGTTCAAGAACAGGTCCCCTTCCCCCTCACACACAACCACCACTATCGCCCACCCATCGCCCCCCATGCCATGCGCCTTCCGAGCAACTTCCAAAAGGTATTCCCTCAGCCAGGTCTCCCCTTCCCAGTCTAGAGTCAACCCCTCTACCTCCCTCCTCCCCTCCTCCTTCCTCCTCTCCTCCACCCTCCAGAACCCTGCTTGTCTCAGTCTCTCTTTCTTTGCATCCCTCCCGGCTATATAATTCGCATGAACCGTGACCACCTTGGGCTTTAATGTCTCGTACCGCGTCCAATTGTCTGCCAAAACCTGCCCGGAAAGGAATTTATTCGGCGGGAGAACCCCGATTTTAGGCGCGACAATTTTCCCATCCACTCCGTTCAGCTCCATCCAGGCGATAACGTCCCTCATCTGATCCTGGTCTAATCCCCCAAACCGCCCCGTTTTCGCCATCCTAAACGCCCAATTCGCGATAAACGCCTTGGCGCCGGGAGTGGGGCGAACATAGAGAAAACAGCTACAGTAGATCTTTTTATTCCAGTAGTAGCTTGTAGGCTCGCAGGCGTTTGATGCATTAGCGAGTATGCTCTCATCCAGAGTAAGGTACACGTCAAAATCCTCCTCTTCTTCCCCTTCATATTCAATCTTTGGTTTCGGAGGCTCTTCCTCCTGCCCCCCCTGCCCCTCCTCTTGCTGCTCCTGCTCCCCCTGCTCCTGCTGCTGCTCTGGCTGCTCCGGCTGCTCCGGCTGCTCCGGCTGCTGCTGTGCCTCCTCCTCTCCATTCTCCTCCTCGTCCCCTTGTTTTAGCCCCTGAGTCGCCTCCTGCTCCTCCTGCAACCTCCGCGTTTGCTGCCCCTCCTCACCCACCTCTGCACCTGCATCGGTTGCAACTCCCGCTGCTCCCCCTTCTGCTCCTGCTGCTCCTTCTGCACCTGCTCCTACTTCTTCTGTTGCGCCCACCGCCCCCACATCCCCCTCTCCCCCGGCTCCTGTTTCCACATCCCCCACATCCCCCAAATCCCCCACATCCCCCACATCCCCCACATCCCCCACATCACCTGCTGGGTCCGCCCCTACTTCTCCCCCTCCTTCTCCCCCTGCTCCTGCTGCTGCTGCTTCTGCTGCTTCTCCTGCCACTGCTTCTGCTGCCACTTCCCCTCCCGCCCCTGCTTCTCTCCCCCCTTCCTCAGTCCTTCTCTCCTCTGTCTCCCCACCACCACCACCACCAACACCACCACCATCAGCAGGCAAAGACTCATCTGCGGTCTCTGCATCACCTTCAGCAGCTTTTGCCTTTGCCCGAGCTCTTGCCTTGAGTCTTGCTCCTGCTTCTGTCCGTGCTTCGGCTTTGGCTGTGGCCTTTGCCTCAGCCTCTGCCTTGGCTCTAGCTTTCGCCTCCGCTTTTGCTTTTGCTTCGGCTTTTGCTTTTGCTTTTGCTTCAACCTTTGCCCTTGCTTTCTCCTCCGCTTCAACCCTCAGTTTCTCTTCTGCCTCGGCCTTTCCCCTCGCAATCCCTACGCTCCCCTTGGTTGTGAAAAACGGTATAGGGTTTTGCACCCACGCGATATCAATATCACTATAAAGAACGTTAAAGCCGAAGCACAGTAGGTGTAGAATGTACACTGCGCGATGCGAGGCCACCTTGTGAAACCCTGCGTCCGCAAAGAAATGCGCCGATTCGAAATCGTCCACCTTCTCCTCACGCCCAAACTGGCCTGTGAGCGGTAGCAGAATGGCCTATAACGGGGATAAGGGGAGCAGAGGCAGGTGGGGGTGGTGGGCAGGGGAGGTGAGGTGGGGAGGTAGGGATGGAGAGAGGCGGAGATAGAGAGAGCAAATGTGAATGCTAATGCTAGGGCCGTCTGGTCCGCAGCAAAGATGATGCTAAAGTGACCGATCACCCAGACACACACAGACACACACACACACACACACACACACACACACACACACACACACACACACACACACACACACACACACACACACACACTGCCTGCACTGCGTGAGTGACGAGTGACTGTAGAGCCCATAGACCCACCCAGAACGCCTAAAGACAGAAGACGCACTGAGTGGCCGAGTGAGTCCTGTAGCAAGGTCGCGCGCGCACCCACCTGCCTGGGCCACGCCGCTTGCTGCTAGCGAATGCATGGGCTGTCTGGTCGGCCGCAAAGATGAAAAAATGACCCCCAGACACCCATCCAAAACACCTTTGATAAGGACGCACACGCACCTGCCCCGGCCACTTGCTGCTGGCGAATGCTAGGGCCGTCTGGTCCGCAGCAAAGATGATGAAGTGGCCGCCCAGACCCACCGCCTGCACGTGTAATGCCCAGTTCTCTAGCATCTCGTCGTAGCCTGACACGTGGCGCAGGGGAGGAAGAGAGGGGAAGGGGGAGGGGGAGTGGGGGGGGGGAGGGGGGGAGAATGGGGGGGAGGGAGGGGGGGAGACACTTGGGGGAATGGAAACGAGGGAGGAGGGAGGGGGGAGGAGGGAGGGGGAATGTGATAGTGTTTGGGAAAAAAGTATTTCTCACCAGCGTTGAAGGAGGCGATGATGGCAGTGCCTATGATGGCAGTGCCTATGATGGCCACTCGACTCGCCCTAGCAAGCAGAGCAGGGGGGGAAAGGGTTCGAGGGGAGGGGCAGGGGGGAGGAGCGGGGGGGGGAGGAGCAAGGGGGGGGGAGGGAGCAGGGGGGGGGGGAGAAGACAATACCCTCACCAGCGTTGAAGGAGGCGATGATGACAGTGCCGTTGATCGTCACTCGGCTTGCCATCGCCCACAGCACTGCCAGCTGCTCGTGCAGCTCCGTCGCCTGCGACGCTCGCGACGCTTCTCGCAACACGCGCGACGATCGCGACTTTTGCGACGCTCGCGAAGGAGGAGCTACTAGCGATTCCTGCGGCGGCACTCGCAGCGACGCTCGCGGTACAAGCACTCGCGAGCTGACCACTCGGCGACGCTCGCCGTCTCCCCGGGACGTCGACTCAAGCCCTTCCTGTTGCTTTAGCGACGCAGATCGAATCGCGAGAACCCCCTCCTGCCTCCGTCTCAGAACGCGGTTATTCTCACGAAAAGAAATCGAGGAGACAGGTGGGTCTTCAAGAGGGATCGACGGAGTCCGTCGGCTGATTTGAGGCGTGCCGTGCGCCGTGAATTTCGGTCCGTGGCTCTGGTCGGCGGTTCTTGCGGGGGCAGCGGCGGCGGCGGCGGCGGCGGCGGCGTCGCACGGGGAGCATCGTGCGAGGGAGAGGAGGAGGAGGGGAAGCAGGAGAGGGAGGGGGAGGAGGCGCGAGGAGATTGACGTCCAGGACATTTTGAAGGCTATCTTAAATCGCATCGTAACATCCAATAGCGCGTACGGAAACGCTGAAACGCGTATGGGAGGGAGTGCATAAGCGGTAGTACTACTCGCCGCCGGGTCCCCTCGTCCTTTTCTAGTCGACTCCGAGACAATAGGCGCAGGATTATCCGTCGAACGATAACGCGGCAATCTTGCCCGTGAATGATAACGCGGATCGATTGGTCCGGCATCTCTTGCTGCGGGTGCCACGTGGCACGATTGCATTTGCTACATCCCGATCATAAGGAAGATGTTGCGGCCGAATCGAGATGATGATTGAGGGCCGCCATTGCGGCAGAGTTGAAGCTCTCCGGTAACGGTACACACCGGAGAGGTAGAGTTGAACACCGGAGTACTAGGCACCGAAGCTCTCCAGGAAGGTAGAATTGGGAAGCTAAGGTTACGCAACTGGGAAGCTGGGAGCTGGGAATGAGGCGATTCCCAGCTCTGGGAATGAGCTGGGAATGAATAACTGGTACTACTACTACTGAGGCGATTTTTTCGAGACTAAGACAGAGAGCAGCTGACGAGAGAGACAGGCATGCGAATTAACAATCGGCAACCGCAAATTCCCGCTACCCTCGGATCGTGAAACAGTCTCTATTTCGCGAATATTCGCGAATGGCGGAAGGCCGATCTGAGAGAGCATGGCGGCGAGAGATGCGGAGATCAGTGACGTTTCCGAATAGATGCGGAGCGGAGACCACTACAGTACTAATGGCAGTACTAGTTGCAGTAAGTGCTCTGGAGACAGTTGTGCAGACCTAGGGGTTGTTGGGAGTGGCAGTGGGCGGGTGGGTAGATCCCAGTGCTCCTTGATGGTGGTAGCTGGAGCGAGCGACTCGAAACTCTCAAGGTGGCCTTAGGAAATATGAAATACAGAATAGGTTATTGAATGAAACGCTTACAAGGCGTATGCCGAGCAAGCTGTAGCTTTGGCTGCAATTGCTTCGGCGGAGGCTCGGCATGAAAGCTGATCACTTCCTCCCAGGCTTGTGCGACTGCCGCAGCTGCAGCCACAAATTTATGCTGTCACAGGAGCAAACCCGCGGATTTCTCTCCCTGCTGGGATTCGCCTGTCTCGATATTGTCAACCCTGCTTCTCGAAATGAGTACACTACAACTGTCTTTTGTCGAACCTCTCTGCTAGACAGATAAACTGCTGAATCTCGCCGCTGTCCGTTTGATCAATGCTTACTCCATACGTCTGACGAGCAGCCAGTTTTGTGTCATGAGGGCGCGTGAATGAGCAGGTTGCGGTTGGCTTTCGCTAGCCAATCTGAGCGCACAAACCAGCTGTAAAACAAGGTCCCAAAACTTGGGTCTTCGAGGTTCCTCCCAAAACAACCCGGGACATGGGTCGCGAGGGCCAGTGACGAAAAAATCGAAAGCAGTCGAAATTGCAACACTCGCAGCCGATTTCGCTGGTGCCTACCACTCGTCGGCCAATCAGTAGTTTCCGTCCCAACCAACTGTTACAGTTGGTAATCTGGGTCCCTGGCTCTGCATACTCCACCACACCTCTGACAAGCAGCCAGTCCAGTCTTCGCAACTACGCAATTTAGAGACGATCCAGTCTCTAGGTTGCTGACAAGGTAGTATCGGGACGTATTAGCGGGTTCGCGAATGCAGCTTAGACTCCGGGAGCGCATTCGCGACTAGCGGGGATCCCCCGATGTCTCGATTGAGATGTCTCGACTGCACTGGCGGAAGCGCAGGGGATCGCGGGATCCCCGCTCCAGTCGATACATCTCAATCGTGAGATCTCAATTGTGCGCGATCTGTCGAGGTTCGTCCAGCTCTTGTGGTAATGAGATTCCAACTGGGAGATACTATTGCGAGATCTATCGCGCTCATCCAGCTGTCAACCGTATTTCTTAGATTCGGCTGTGGTCTTTTGAGTCGACTCAAATGCCTCCGTCTGCATTTTCGTAGTGAAAGCGATTTGCGGCTGCGGATAGCAGCGCGATGCCCTTCTGGTTTTTTACCGAAGAATTCGCCGTTGTTTCACGCCAGAGGCTGCTGCTTATAACGAAGCAGAGTCACGGGGTCTCGTGAGTTCTCGTTACGATCACAATGACCCTGGGCCGGGAGGGTGGCGTGGCAAGGGCCCTGCGAATAATCGTATCTCGCATGCCGGCCTTCGTTTTAATACTTTTCGTTACCGTGACGTCTATACGATGCGAAGAACCGCGTATAAGCACCTCCCTTTCGCAGTCACAGTCCGGCATAGTAACGAGGGAACCCAGCTCAGAGGCATCAGGATCCACGCCTGGTACGCCAGAATCCACGTCAGGAACATCGGGATCCACGTCAGGAACATCGGGATCTGGTAAAGGAAGAGCTGCAGCCGCCGTTCTTAAAGCCGCAGCTGCAGCAGCAGCAGCAGCAGGTAGGGAAAGGCAGAGGGGGGGAGCAGCAGGTCTCAATCCGAGCACCAGCAGCAGCAGAGGCAGCAGCAGCAGCAGCAGCAGCGGTAGTAGGATGGACGGACCAGATGGCACGGAATACAGCGAGACAAGAGGGGGGGACTTAGCGGCCGTTGATAACGATGACCTTAGCGGTAAAGACGGTGCTTCCGCCTCCTCTCCCTCCTCTCCCTCCTCTCCCTCCTCTCCCTCCTCTCCTCCTCTCCTCTCTCTCCTCTCCCAACACCAGCAGCACCTGCAGCAGTGGCAGCAGCACTTAGACCGGGCCGTTTTCACCCCGCTCACTGACCCCACCCACCCGCTTGCGCTGCTAAGTAAAACGCTTAAGGATTCCCCTAAGATCCCGCTGCTGGTAGCTGTGGATGGGCCGGTTCCGGAAGCCCTGGGGGGAGGCGCGTGGGAGCAGGGGGGGGGAAGGATGGTGCGGGTGGCGTGGGGGAAAGGAAAGGGGCGGAAGGGGGGAGGGGGAGGGGAGATGGGAGGGGAAGGAGTGAGTGAGGGGGGGATGGGAGCGGCGCGGGGGAGGGAAGGGGAGAACGCTGGGGAGGAGGACAGGGGACCTGTGGGGCAGGGGGTAGAGGAGAACGCTGGGGAAGGAGGAGCTGGGGAAGGGGGGGGGAGGGGAGAGGGTGAAGGGGGAGGCGCAAGGAGGCGGTTAAGTGAGGAGGAAGAACGGAAAAGGATGTTCAGTCGACTAAAGGGGGCGGGAATGAGTGAGAGGGAAGTGGTACCGTTGCAGGAGCCGGAGCACCAGAACCACCATAACCAGCAGCAGCAGCAGCAGCAACGGCTGCAGCAGCAGCAGCAGCAGCAGCAGCGCCGGCGGGTATTGGTGGAGGAGGGGCTGTGGAGAGAGAGGGTGAAGGAGAGAGCTGTGCTATGCCTGGCGAGGTTGCAGCAGCACGAAGCACTGCAGGAGAGACTTGCTCAAGGTGGGTCTGCGTGCTGTTTGCATGTATGAACCGCGCCCCCCCCCCCACCTCCTCCCCCCACTCCCCCGCCCCCCCTCCCCCACCTCCTCCCCCCACTCCCCCGCCCCCCCTCCCCTCGTCGCTTTGTAGTCTAAGGTTCGTTCATGACAGCAGGAGGGGAGGTGCATTGGGGGTTGGGGCGGCTGGGGGGAGGAAGGGCGGGAGGGGGGGGTGTTTGTGTAGGTGGGAGGCTGCAGGGCACGCTGACAGGCGGTCAGAGGGATGGAGAAGGGTGTTAAGGGGTGGGGTTGGGGGGGGGAGGCGCTGGGAACGCTTAAGGCTTTGGTTTGGTTGTCAAGGTTCGCAGCTGATGGTCCAGAATGCGTGTTGAACAAGGGCGTTGCTTGTAAAGGAATGTGTAGAGAGCATGGTTGGGGATGTGATGGGTATGGGTAGGGAGGGAGCATGGGATGGGTGGGGGGGATGTGGTGTATGGGTTGTTTGTGAGAGGATGGAATGGGGATGTGATGGGTATGGGTGTGAAACAGGCGGCATGTGGCTTGAAGAATGCCACAAGCAAGACATGCTTGCATGCATGATGGTACATGCAGTCCGGAGGGCTGGTGAGACCATTGGCCATAATTTAGGTCTAAAACCTACAGGCAGAAAGACGCCCGGATTTTGGTTTCTGCTGCATGGCTGATGGTTTCCGAACTGATGTTCTTCCGTTTGGTCTGTTCTTCTTCGCCTGTATGTATCCTTCCTCCATTGATGCTTGTACCTGGCTTAACCGCATGCTATGTCGTTGCTTTCTTTGGTGCTCCATTATCCGATCAATCAACCTTCCCCAATCGCCTCCTTCCTCCATCATTCATCCTCCTCGCACTCATCTCCCTCTGCCTCGCTGTGACTTCTTTTGAGTCGACTCAAAAGTCATCTCCCTCTCTCTCATCCTCCTCGCTCTCATCCCCCTCCACCTCCCTGTGACCTTCTTTCACCCCTTTTCCCCATGGCAGCGCATCAGCAGTACCTCCAATCCCACCTCCCCCACATATCCCTTCCCCGCTCCCCCCCCTCCTCCTCCGCCTCTGCCGCCTCTACCTCTCCTATTTCCTCCACTCCCGCCCAAGAGTCCCTTTCCGCACACCCCTTGAAAGCTTTGATATCCTCGTTACAAGACGACCTGAAGGTCTTACAGCAGCAGCTAGAGGAACAGTGCGGGATAAATAGAAGAGATTTAAGGCTAAGGATGGAGGAGAGGGCCAAGCTAGTGAGGGAGTATGTATCTAAAAAGGCAGGGGGGGGGGGGGAAGGAGTGGGAAGGGGGAAAGGAGGCGGGGGAGGAGGAGAAGGAGGTGGAGGGGAAGGAGGAGTGGGGAAGGAAGGGAGGCAAGAGGAGGAAAGGACAGAGGGAACGAAGGAGGGCTCAAAAGAGGGTTACAAGGAGCGGGCAGCTGAAGGAAACCCGTGGTGGTGCAGAGGGGTGGAGAGAGGCAGGGCAGCTCGCACCTGCATGGGACTGAAAGCCCCTTCTCCCCTCGCATGGCTCTCCCCCCACCTCTTCCCCTCCTCCCCCCCTGCTGTATCCTTCCTTCTGCAGTATTTCCGCCAGCCAGATATGATAGCCAACCTCCTCTCCCGCCCCTATAACTGTACCTGGGATCAGGTCAGCAGGGGGGAGGCGAGGGGGAGGAGACGGGGGGAGGCTGGGGGATTAAGGGGGGGTGCTGGGAAGGGGGAGGTTGGAGAAGGGGAGGGTGTGAGAGGGGGAGCAGGGGGAGGGGGGAAGGTGGCGGGTGGGGGAGAAGGGGGAGCAAAGGGAGGGGGGAAGACAGGGGATGGGGGAGGGGGGGGGGGGGCAGGGGGGGCGGCAGGGGGAGCGGCAGGGGGCGGGACGATGAGGGTGGTTGAGATGCTAGTGCATGCAGATAGTCCTGATGAGTGGAAGGAGTGGAGGGAGCACTGGTGTGGGAGGAAGGCGCTAACTAACCCCGATGACCCTGCTGCTCCTGCCGGTGCTGCTGGTGCTCTTCCTGCTGCCAGCACAAAAGGAAACAGCAGCAGCAGCAGCAGCAGCAGCAGCAAGTGTCCTGGCAACCCATACTTCCATCTCCAAGTAACCTTCGACCATAACGCCCATGAGATTCGGGGCTTCAACACACACGCCAAGACAGCCCGCGGTAACGTGGTAACCCTGTTACAGGACGATGACCTGCTCCCCTGGGACTGTAGCTGGCTATGGGGCATAATACATGAGATGGAAACAAGACCACTAGTTGCTGCTGTGGGCTACAGGACAGGGAAAGTCGACGTGGATGGGAGTAATTGGGGTTCGGCCCTAACCTGGTACAGGTTCGGTGGGTGGCTATGGTCCCACCCGTCCTACGACCCCCGAACCAACTTACGGGGTTTTTTCGCGGGGGTGGTGGATTTTGCACCGTTTTTCATGCGACGAGACGTGTTTCTCGCCCTTGGAGGTCTGGACGAGGGGCTATCGGCGCGGGGAGAATGCGGAATTATCACCGACTGGCATTTCACTTATCGCATCTGGTTTGCTGGTTTCCAGGTTATGCACGCAGCGTGGAATCCCCCGGAGGCTGGGATTGCAAGGGGGGTGGAAGGGGGAACGCATGCGGGTGTGAGACTGAGCCTACGGCACATGCACTTTTTGATCAATGAGCAGCAGATGAGAAGGCATCAGATTGAAAGGCTGAATGGGTGGCAACAGAGGGAGGTGAAGAGGGCGAATGTGATGCTCCGGACGCTGGACGTGTGGGCGTGAGTGTGGAGGGAGGATGGAGGAGGGATGAGGGAGGAGGGATGAGGGAGGAGGGACGAGGGAGGAGGAATGAGGGAGGGAAGAGAGAGGTTACAGCAATGCATGTACGATAGCATGATATTCTTTTGTTGAGCCATTCGAATTTGTTTCTGCCACATGTATGGATGGGAGTGCATGTTTCATGTTCCTTGTGGGGTTCCTTGAATTACTGGACATCATTAACATCGTACACCAATCTAGTAGTGGACGTTGCTGCCCTATGTGTAGACCAACGTTTTGTAATGTATTCAGCTCATATATGGGATATTTGAAATGTTCTCCCACGAATATGTGGTCTCTAAGCCCTCATACTCCATCTATATATGCTAAACCTGTAATCCGTATATGCAGCGTATAGCATTTTCTCCTCTAGTTCCGAACCAAGCGGTTAACGGGTTGGGAAATTTTCATACTGTATCCTTGACCGGCTTACCGTACGGTTTGCCAGCAAACTTGTCTGGCTTGTTTCGTTATTTTGTCGTTAGTCCAGAATACACAAGATCCCGCTTACAGACATCCATGCTATTCGCACAATCACGGTTAAGGACCCATTGACGTATACACCCTGCACTTAGCCCCTAGTGTATATGCACAATCGCTGTTCAACATGAAACGACCCACAAGAGTGTACTGTACAAGATAGCGCACAGATTCCGCAGCAACCAATATGATTCGTCCAGAAGATTACGTTCGCGAAAAACAACAGCCTAGCGAAGTCACTAGAAGGCTTATCGTCTGAGCTCATACCCACGCATTTGAAGGCTTACAAACGTTTGTAGGCAGCGCATGCCGGAGCTCATTGAGCATATCTGCGTTATTCCGGGTGATCTTTGCAATTGGGATGAGACTGTCCTCTTCCCGGGTCAGCAACCTCGTCGTACCTGGTCGAATGGTTCGCCCGTCGGTTGCAAGGCTGCAAAAGACAGCATTACGGTGGCCTTTCTATGCAACGCAGACGGATCCAGCATGTATCGTCCTCTCATCGTCTGCAAAGTGCGCCGGCCGACTGACTTCAACGATAACAACTTCGACCCCGAGCCGTACGTCTATTGGCGCCAAAATACCAAGGGCTGGATGACTTCCGAGATGAGTGATGTATTAGCATGTGCGTGAGTTTCCGATACTAACTTGCGCGCTCTCCGAATTGCAATTCTGTCTACATGATACTTGAACACATTTGAAAGTGTGGTTCAATTGTTCACTCTTCCCCCCTCCCCCCCGCCCCCCCGCCTACAGATCTTCACCTCTTTCTTCGAGTCAGTGAATGCCTGCATGTTCGCCAAACAGAGGCAGATCGTTGTCTTGGTGGACAACGCATCCTCTCATAACCTACTGAGGATCCTCGCACGTGGAAGCTCAGCAATGTAAGAATCGTCTATCTCCCCCCCAATACCACGGCATAGTGTCAGCCGTTGGACCAGGGCATTATCGCGACCGTCAAGCGACGGTTTCGATCCAAGTGGCTACAGGAGCTATGGAAGCTGTGGGACTCCCGGGTGTCACCAGCATCATAGGCGACGAAGAAGCCGAAGGCATGGCAAACGGTGCAGTGGCTCTCCGATGCATGGGGCAGTGTTGAGCCAGACAACATGCAGCGGTGCTGGCACTACGCCAAGATATTGCCCCGCAGCTGGAGTCGGATCCTCCCGCACCTCATGTACGAGAGCTCCAACCCAAGCAACCAGACAGAAGAATTGTAGGTGGTGGGATCACAGATAAACCAGTTCTCGTTCAAGGCCCACGCCCACTCCGCCGAGAACTTCACTCGCATCGACGAGACCCACCCGACGTGCGAGCCCGAGGGCGTCGATCCTCTCTCCACAGAACCCCCTCCAGTGCGCTAGACGGGAGGAGAGCCTCCCTTCATCATCGAGCTGTCTGAGCGCGCGAGGGCAATGCGGCGGGTTCGGCGCCTAGCGACGGATCTGCTCATCGCTTATGCGAGGGCGACGCGGATCCGTCCACGCTACCTCAAGGAGGTGTTCGACATCGGAAATGCTGATGTCATTGAACGCCTCGAGAGGGCCAGCCCGAAGCCGTGCAGGACGTTCAGCATCAACCTGAACTACGCTCCATCTCCTCGTGCTTTAGCCAGTGACAGCGACGATCAAGACACTGCGGACACCGCCATCAGCCGTGAACGTCTTCTGCAAGCGACGGCTATGATGGATGGCTTTGATGGCGTGGCAATGATCATGAGGACCATTTAAACCCATTGTGTCTACCTCTCCATTTGTCCCCTACATCCAATGTTAAGAGGATGTGTTACTGAAGGCGCCGGGAAGGTCTACGTGTGGTGTTACCTCCGTTTTCCCCTGCAATGCCATGCTTTTCAGCTAAGAAGGGTCGGCGCGTGGGCGATTAACACTATCCCCTCTGTCTAGTGCGTGCCATGTGTTCATTGCAGTTGTTTGCGTTTCCTCGTCTGCCTCATTGTTTGCATGGGCGTGGGTTTGTGTGCCTCTCTGGATTGTGATTGTACGAGCGTGTGTGTGGGTGTGTGTGCCTCTGTGTGTTGTGATTCGTTACAAGAGTGCCCGTTGGTGTGTGTGCCTCTCTGTTTTGTGCGTCTGTGAAGGGGTGTGTGGATGGGTGTGCCTCTCTGGTTTGTGCTTCTTCATGAGTGTGTGTGAGGCGCTGTGAGCCTCTCTGTTTGGTGCTTATTTGGGAGTGTGTGCCCTGTTTCTCTTCCAGTGTTATGTGCTGCTTGCTGATGTGCGTATGTGTGGATGCCATGAGTGTGTGCTTGGCGGGTATAATGATGTGTCGTGAGTGTATGCTTCTCAGCAGCGTGGCAGCTGCTAACAAGGGAGAGGATGAGCAGGTGGACGGTGGATGATATAAGCAACGTCATGTGAACCCATGAGCTTTAGTAACAGAGAGTGTTGTTTGGTGCTATGGGAGTTGGGGGAGCACGGCAGCGTGGTTATCGTTGAAATAGGAAAGCTGAAAATGTGGCTTTGGGCTGGAGTTGGAACATGTGGTATCATCTCTAGAAATACATTTCAATGTTGTGAACTATGTGTTGTAATTCTGTATCTGTTGTGTCATAAACGTAGTGCAATGCTGTTGTTGTTGTAACATGGCCCGTTTTATGCGGGTCACAATTTTCTCGCGCCGGTTACCAAAACGGACGCACATAGGCCGTCCGCATTTAATGACTACAGTCCAGCTACTCCCGCCGCCGAAGTGTACAAGCCCTTTTTGCCCGGCGTTTACGCCGGTGGATACATGCACGCATCGCGGAATTTTTTTGCGTGCCTGAATTGTGGAACATGTGTACATATGGTTCGGTAGACCCTTCGGAGTTCCCCATGGGTCTACCGTACTGATCCGTATTTATTGCAGGGAACATTCGGATCAGTAATGCTACCACGGACCTGTATGAATTACTGCACATCTCGTGCTGATGTGTACCGTTCTATAAAACATACACTTGGTTTTATTTGTTGTTTCATCCAGAATAGTCTAAATTGCAATCCCACATACCAGGGTCTCAGCATGACTCGCGTTAACACTGACCCTGATTGGTTGCAGTCTGAACGATAGCGAACAACCAAATCGAATATCGACAATTGCGAGTTCCAGAGATGGGACATCGCGCAAGCAAATATTCTAGTGGATTTACGAGACTTTGTAACTTATTGTCAGTGTTTACTGTGGGTTTTCCCCTTCAAGGTCCCGTTTGCCCGTGTTTTATAATTTCCTATTTACAGGCTGAGGCCGCATGCAAAAAAAGTAAAAAGAAATAGAAGAAAATGTGTACCCACCTGGAATTTCATATTTCTGAGCGCCCTCGCGATTTTCCGTATTCCTACGTGAACAAGATATTTTGGTAAAAACACCTCCAAATGGTTTGGGCAGGCTGTCCTGCCCAAACCCAAAAATTAGACTGAGCTGGAAAATAAACCAGCTCGTTCCAACATTTCGAAGTGACAAAGCAGTAAATCGAGGCCCGGGCAGCGAATGAAAGTGTCAATGACCGAGGATTTGGTGAAACTCTCGTATGGTTTACAGAATGTGGTTGGTCATTGCTCAACCGTTCACAAATGTACGTGGATTGGTTGAAGAGATTTCACATATGTTCTGGTAGAGCGTAGAGCGGATCACCAGTACTGTACAGGCCAGCAGAGCGTAGAGCTGTCCCGTAGAGTAGCTTTGTAAGGACCTCAAGAGCCCTTTCTCTTCTACGAGCAGCTCGTTTTCTAACAAACCTACCAACTCGGGAAAACTACTGCCATCTCAGCCCACAGATTACCAGCAGCTTCAGAGCGTGGACCCTAAAAACACCCCAAGAGCTCCGAGTTTAGAGTGCTGGTGACGCTGACTGCTACACGCGTTCCACGCGGAACGAAGTCCTATGCGGGCCATGATGGAGAGAGCGGGATTTCGGCTCGGCGCGCTCTTCCTGCTGGTGGCTTGTCTCGCGGTTCATGGAGCAAACGGCGCAGCAGTCGTGGGGGAGTTGCAAGGTCGGTTCTTTGGCTCGGTTCTTGGTTAAAAGGTCGGTTCTTTGCAGGGTTCTTTCTTTCCAAGGGTCGGTTCTTAGGTTGCAAGGTCGGTTCTATGGTGGAAATGTGGGTTCCTTTTGTCGCAAGGTCGGTACTTGCTTTGAAGTGTCGGTTCTTTGGTTGCAAGGTCGATTCTTTCATCATTTCGAGGTCGGTTCTTTCGTTCCAAGGTCAGTTCTTTCGTTGCGGGGTCCGTTCTTTTGTTAAGAGGTCTGTTATTTTGTTCATAGGTCCGATCTTTCGTTCAGAGATCCGTCTTTTTGTTCAAAGGTCCCTTTTTCTCAAAGGACCATTCTTTTGATCAGAAGTCCGTTCTTTTATCAGAGGTCCGTTCTTTTATCAGAGGTCCGTTCTTTTGTTCAGAAGTCCCCCCTTTCGTTCCAAGATCCGTTCTTTCGTTCAAAGATCCGTGAATTTGTTGTAGGATCTGTTTTCTGGTTCCAGGGTCCGTTCTTTGTTCCCAAGGACCTATTTTTTGTTCCACACACGTTATTTCGTCCAAGGCCCGTCCATACTCCAAGGCCGATCCTTTCATTCCAAGGTCCGGCCTTTCGTTACGAAGTAGATCCTCTCATTCCAAGACCCGATCTTTTGCTCCAAGGTCCAAACTCTCGTTTCAAGGCCCGTCCTTTCGTTCCAAAATCCGTCCTGTCGTTCCAAAGTCTGTCCTGTGTTCCAAGGTCGGCCCTTTCTTTACAAAGTCGGTCCTCATTCCAAGGTCCGCCCTTTCGTTGCAAGGTCCGCCCTTTCGTTACAGGGCCCAACCTTTCGTTCCAAAGTTTGTCCTGTCATTTCAAGGCCGGTCCTTTCATTCCAAGGTCCGGCCTTTCGTTCCAACGCCTGGTATTTAGTTCCAAATTCCATCATTTCGTTCCAAGGTCTGTCCTTTCATTCCAAGCTTGGTCCTTTTGTTCTGAGGGCCGTCCTTTCGTTGTGCTGACTGGTCCAGCCACTTGATACATTCATGAAGTTTCCCAGAAAGTGGCACTTTCTAATTGCTGCCAAGCATCGGCAGACTTTCCCCTTGCCAGCTGTCTGCGCATGCTCACTGCTGCATGGGTCTCTCATGCGCCTCACCTGAGGCTGTCTGTCTCGCACACTCAAGTGGAAAGGCACTGACTGACAGCAGCATCACCACGAACAAGACAGCCCAAATCTGACCCAAGAAGTAGCCTTGCAGGGCTTGGTGGTTGGAATCACCCATTCCCTTCTCCTGATGGCTCTAGTATCAACCTCTCCCCTTCTCTACCTTTCCGGCCCGCCCCTTTCTCTACAGTGCAAGCCATGGGCTGCCAGCCGGCGTTAGGGCCTGGATGGGCGGCTGGAGAAAGCTGCAGCGAATCAAACATTACTTGTGATGCACAAGGCAGGGTAACCAGCATGTAAGTGTAACCACTGGCTGCTTCCATTCTCTCCTCACCCCAACTACTCCCTGTGCCTGTTGGACGTCCTTTAAGCTTTTCAATCCAAATGCACAATAACAGCAACCACGCCGAATCCTCATACTTGGCATTCGTGCCGCACAGTGGGCTTCTTGTCCACGAAGAGCAAGCGGTCCTTTGCACTCGTCTCTGTGCATGTAAAAAGTAAACCTTGCAGTGTATCATACACTTTCAGGACGTGTTTTCCCTTCCTTTTTTTTTCTCATAATTATCTCTGTTGCAGTATCCTCATTGGTTGCGGCTTAACGGGGTCTATTCCATCAACTCTTGGCAGCATGATCAACCTCACATTGCTGTCAGTATCTCTTAGGCATATGAGTGCAATGGGATGGGACACTAAAGAGCCAGAACTCAATACATGAGGCCCGCCACAATTACTGCCAAAACAACTACACCGCATGCGTGCTGATACTTGTAAATGAATGCGCTTGTAATTGCTTACGCATCCCCTTCGTGTGCACATCCTGCTACGCGCTCAATCAAGGCGTCCAATGTCGTTCCGAGTTTGTCAGTCAGAGTGCTTGAGGTCTGTTGTTGTTGTGGCGAAAAGTCGTGCCAGATGTTGTAGAGTAGGAAGCTGTTGCAGCTGCTGCTCTGCTGCTGCTTGACCCTGCCGGCATACTAGTAGGACCACATACGTAGTCTTAAGCCCGTCCTCAAACATGTTCTCCATGGTTCAATCATCTCATGACCTCATAACTCTTACGGTCCTCTGATGTTTCACTTTAACCTCGATGCAGGCTCGGCCTTCTTTTTTTACTCTAAGAATAACTCACTTGGTGATGTACAAGGGTTGTGAACTGAACTGTAGCCGAAGCCTGATGTGCATCTTTCTCCTTTTTGATGATTGTTATGCTGCTCACTATATGCATTTTTGTAGCGGCAAGTTGAAACTTACAAATGAAAGTTGCGGTTCTCACACGTCTCCTATTATCATCTGTGGCACATCCCTTGCCTTGTGCGGCATCTATTCAGAAACCTGTCTAACAACAGTCTGACTGGCTCCATTCCTGGATCCATCAGCAACCTCAAGAACCTCTTTATCATGTGCGCTCTGTTCTCCTTGCACCTTTTAAAAAGTTCGTCGCGTCACAAAGCTTTTGATCTTAGGTTGGAGCTTTGGGTCAACATCTTTGTTCATTCACATGGTGTTTCGTGACTGGAGATTCTGCTTGCTTTAATCAAAGTGGGAGGAACGAGATGTTGCGGCAGGCGATTTTGCGTGTCAAAATATTACCACTTTCTGTACCCGTTTCGAATAAAGAGTACACGCACATGCATGCGTGTGCTCTTAAGAAGGCCTTTTCAGTATTCTTGTTCCATCTGCACTCAACATCTCTCGTCTACCCATTCACAGCTTTATCAATGCTTCTGGACGGCATTCTATCCGCATGCACAATGCTTAGCTTTGGCCATTCTATCATCTCCCTCCTCTTCATTCTCCTCCTCACCCCCCTTCACCTATCCCTCCTTTGCCCCCTCCCCCACCCCGTCCCACTCCCGATCCCTGTTGCCTTGCTCGATTCCTCTCAGCGATCTTTCGTACAACCAGCTGTCTGGCAGCATCCCTGCCAGCTTCAGTGTGCTTAATCAAGTTACTTATCTGTAAGCTGAATACATATTTGACTGCCACATCCACCGTCAATGTGGCTTGATTAAGAGCTGGCCACTTGTGCTTCTTGCACGACCTGCGTACATTCAACAAGCAACGTGCATGCATTCAGGATGTTACATACACACATTGAGTCACCCTAGCTTCGCTTGAGCAGGGCTGGACTCGAGCCAAGTGGTTCGACGCGCCAGCTCGACGCGAGATAGGGGTGGCTCAAGGCTCTAGGATGAGCCAAGCCCAGCTGAAGGGCCCGACGGCTTGTCACAAGCCCCATCGTGGCTCGGTGGCTTGAGTTGTGCGTGCAAGAGATGTCTCAGCGCGGCCCAGATCTGACATTCTCAAGACATCTCAGCCCGTGTGCGTGCCTAACGCGGACCTTGTGGGCCAAATACCAGATTGGCGAGGATTGGTGGGCGAAAGTATTATATATTGCGGAAGTTAAAAGATTTAACATCCTCAAAAGCGTATAAACTAGGGCTGAGCAAAATACCTGCGCGTGGCGGGTACCCGGAACCGGATCCACTTTTTGGGCGGGTCGGGTATTAGAATTCGTGAATATTAACCAGCGAGTCGGGTCTGGGTACCTGGGCGGGTATTGGATACCTGTTACCCGAAATGTTACCTACATGTCGGGTAAGAGGTACCCGTCGGGTCGGATATTGGATACCCGTCTTCGGGTAGAATTTCCTGACCTAAAATCGGATTGCGCTGCTACCCGTCGGCAGCAGTGTGACCAAAAGTGTGTAAGGGTTGGAAATTTCGACCATATGGTTGAAATTTCGAGCCCATCTCCACAGATCTAGTTTCGACCTACCACCTCCTGCTTGTACCTTCCACCTCCTGCTTGCACCTTCTACCTCCTGCTTGCACCCGCTTTAGCATCACACCCGCCCGCACCCTAATAGCTAGGTTTTCGAAAGAGAATGGATTTAGGGGGGGGGGGTTTAGGTCGTGAGGGGTTTAGCGAAGGCGGAGGTGTGGGAGGGGGATAGGCGATGTTGGTGATTAGGAGTGGCCGCCCAATGCGGAGGGGGAGGGGAAGTGGGCGCGACCGTGGCGGACGTGGCAGAGAGAGGGCAGGGACGAGGGTTGGCAGCGGGGGCATGAGTGGCGCGGGGGAGGTGGAGGGGGGTGGGGATGCAATGCGCTCGGGTTTGGCTGAGGGCGAGGGGGAGGGGGGTCATACGGCGGGCTTCGCACCGACGCCCGGTCGGTGTGGCACCCAGGGTGGGGACGGGATGGGCGTGGTGAAATTGCAGGGCGTGGAGGGCGCACGTGAAACAAAAACCGCATATTTAGAATGGGAAGGGCTACGGGAACTATAATCCGAACACAAGTACAGGCGAGGGTGGGTACGCATTGGCCTGCAAATTCAGATTCAGGAATCTTACCCAGGGTCGATCCACGAGGCGGAAAGGCAGATACGTGTCTACGAAAAGCTCGGCAAGAGCAAAATGCAGTCGCTCCTGCATAACCCGACGTCCGAAGAACTGCGGAATCTGCCGCTGGTCCGCCTCGCCACCAGCACCCGCACTGCCACAGCCCGCTCCAGGGATGTCAGGGTAGGCATTAGCGTGCTCCCACGGCTCTAGGCCGCCAAGCACCCTTGAGTACCCTCGCTGGAAACTCCAAGCCCGGCTTCTTGTTGTGGTCGGTGAAGAGCCGGTTCCACATCTGCAGATGAAGCATGTGGAACATACGCATGTGCTTCCACGCCAACCCAGTGCTACTCTCACCACAGCCGATGGTAGCGTTGCAAACCTTGCAGCAACACGGGTCGGCATCTCTGGGTCGAAGAACATAAACTGCATCAAGCCAGGGACGGTTCCCCAGTACCCGACTGTTACCTAGGAGCTGTCACCTGCTCGTGGCCGCTTATGCAGCCCTCGCTACACATCCCTCTTCAATCCCCAGGCCGTAGAGCTTCTCGGCTCCCGATTCCGCCTTGCGCGCGACATGCTCATGCAGGGCGATGCCGCGCGCGAGCGCCAGCTGTAGGAGTTTGTCGGCTACTGGGCGGCGGGGAAGATATCCCTCATCACGGGCATCTGGGCCAAGCTGGCGTAGAATGCGTTCTTTACTGTCACGACGCACTAAACGTCGGATTTCTAGCTATGCCAGGCTATCCTGGAGTTTGAGGAGATCAAGGGGTCGCACACATGGGTCTTGGTTGCGGAGACCTTGGAAATGGTCATAGCTGAGTGGAGGCTGTGGGACCACGTGCTTGACATTACGACTGATAATGCCGGAACAACATCAAGGCACTCAAGATCCTGACTGGCGACGCAAAGACCGAGGGAGCGCGCGACCCTTCCGTACCGGATGCTCGTTTTTTCTTCAGGTATGTAGTGCAACCGTCCTATTCTTGCCCCTTTCTGGACCGGGACGTTCGTTACGCACGCCCATTGTGTTGCCTTGTCAAGCAGTCTCTCTAAGTCCAGCCGTGCGTCGCCTTCTCACATCTCTGCCTCTGCCCTTGCTCACGGCTCACAAGGTGCCTGTCCCACGTTCTGAGCCTCGCGGTTCAATAAACTCTGTGTGTTCCGGTTGTGGCGGCGCCGCTCAAGGGGATGAGGGTGATCGCCTCGTTTATTGGGTGGAGCACTACGTGGTCGAACGCTTTGAGGACGAGAAGTTCGGGGGCGAGCTAGGGGGATCGCGTTCTCCGCCTCATCAGCGACACTCCCACTCGCTGGGGGTCGTCCCATGAGATGGTAGAGAAGTTCCTGAAGCTGAAGGACCCCTTTCCTGCTTTACTTCTCACGACGCGAGTAATTGGCGTTAGGGTTGAGCAAATCCGGGTAATTACCCGTCCCAACTCGGTTTTGCAATACCTGACCTCGGGTGGGGTATTTTCGGGTCGGGTAATATGCCCAGGACCCTTACCCGGACCCAGCTGTAGGGGGCGGGTAATACAATACCCGCCTGGTGGGTAATACAATACCTGCCTGGTGGGTCCGGGTATACCCGACCCGGTTACCCTGAAAAGCGGGTTTTACTACCCCCCACCTATTAGCGGGCCTTCTAAAAACGGGCTAGGCTAGCTAGGGATCCGAAATCGCGACTCTCAAATGAGAGTCACCTTTTCCTGGGGGGCTTCCAAGTACCAACTAATGCCCTCCCTTTCATCGCACTAAAATCCTCCGCATCTAGCAACTGCAACCCTTCTCCAAGTTCCAACCAACTCCTCCCCATTAGGTATACATGACGCCGCTTGCCTCTCCACCTCACTCCGTTTCGACACCCCCTCAAAGCCCACACACTCCTCCCAGCACCTAAGCCTTCCCATGTGCCACTTCCCATGCCCCCCCCCCCACTCAACAATCAGCGTGGGGTAAACGGACACGCGACCACGCCTCGCGTGTCCGCCTTTCAGACGCCCACTAGGACGCCTTGCGAGTGTTGGTGGAGTTCCTCAAGCTGTTGCATGACATCATTAGTGTGGTAGAGGGGTAGTTGTACCCCACTGCCGGAGTAGTGGTGCCACAGTAAAACGTGCTCATGGACGGGCTTGAGCGCCTCTACCATGATCAAGGGACTGGGGATGTGAGAGTACGGCCCTGTTACACCAATTCCCCCTTTCCATATTTCCTTTCTATTTCATTCCTCTTTTTATCCTGATTCATTTGATCTATATCTCATTTCATTTGGTTTTCTATTCCTCATTTTTCATAATCCTTTGGTTTACCGTGTTATTATAATTATATCACCGACCAGGCTCGGGATGTACTAGCGCGCTCTATCTAGCGTAATCCTACCGTAATCCCTTGAAGCCAATAGCCTCGCGTGGCTATACGCAGGGTGATTATATTTCTAGAAGGGTCTATTCCCTTTGGATATGATAAACTTGGTTACCTGATGTATTGTGGAAGTATACAAGCACCTTGTACTCATGGATAGTGCAACATTGATCAAACCTCATTCGATCCTGTGATAGGGGAGCTCTGTCGGTTGAAGGCGGATGTGGCTTTGATGGTGCTGAAGAAGTATATGTATGGCATCAGCGAGGAGCTGGCAATGGCCACATTCTTGGACCCCAAGTTCAAGCAGGCCTACTTCCAGCTCGTGCGCTGGGAGGTGGCCAATGAGCTGCTGGCGGGGGCAGCTGGGAAGGCGTGAAGGGCGATGCGCGACATGAGGGAGGAGGATGTGAAGGCGTGGGTCAGGCTACGCTTGAAGTCCTACTAGGACGAGCAGCGCAGGCGTGCGGTGGACGTGGGGCAGGAGGGGACTAGCTCACGGGGGGCCCGAGCTGGGACGGGGGGAGGGGAATGGGGACGGAGAGGGGGATAGGGCAGTGGAGGAGGGCGCTTGTTTGACATGCTGGGCACAGAGATGGCCGAGGCGAAGGCGAGGGCAGGGGTGACCGCGCCGGTCGAGCCCGATAGGTACCTACACGAGACGCGTCCGGGCATGGACGCGTGCCCGCTCGCCTGGTGGCGTAGTCGCTCGTCGAACCCGGGGCTGCAGGCGATGGCACGAGACTACCTTGCCATCCCTGTAAACTCGGCACCTAACGAGCGGTCGTTCAGCTAGGGGCGGAACGTCGTCACCTAGCAGCGCCACCGGTTGAGCACTGCCCAGGTGCGTGCATCCATGATTATAAAATCATGGATGGCACAGCACCGACGACTCCCTCCCGTTGGCGTTGCTCGATCGGGCAATGGGGGGATTGTGCCTTGAGGGTGACGATGAGGGGTTGTGAGGAGTGGGGTCAGGATACAGTACCAAGCGCAGGTTTCGCTATCTTATACATTCTAGTTCTTGTTCCATGCGTAATGAGTCGATTTTTGAGTCGACTAAAAAATCGACTCATTACACACGCATTCTAGTTCTTGCTCCATGCATGGACTCAGCATTGAGCTATAGGGCGATGTGGACATGGTTTTCTACCTGTTTGTTGATCGTGTCGAGCAGGTGAGAATGCACGCACGTGCAAAACATTAACAGGTTCGGGGTCTATGCCTGGTAGCGCACTGTAGAACCTGTTGTACAACACCACCCGTCACATGCTGGAAAAAACGTTGCAGAACCCGGTTTAGGTTTTTTAAACACCAAGCTGTCGACGCACACCCTGGTGCCACATGACAAACACACCAATGGCAACAGAGGGTAAAACTTAGCTCGTTTAGGCATTTTTTTATGGGCGGTTAGCAATACCCGTTTTTAGCCTAGACCGGGTCGGGTATACCCGGATCCGCCAGGGAGGTATTATATTACCCGCCTTGAAGGGCCGGATCCGGGTAATGATCTGGGGGGTATTACCCGACCCGCACCCGACCCGGAGATACCTGACCCGAGGTCGGGTATGGAAAAACCGGGTCCGGTCGGGTATTTACCCGGTTTTGCTCATCCGTAGTAAAAACATTCACATGTCATTGACATCCTTGCTTCTGTATGTATACAGCTTATCAGCAGCTTTGAAAGTCTTGCCATAACTAGACAGTTGCATTTTATGTTGTTCTCATGCTCTTCTCCTCCTCCCTCCCCCCCGCTCCCCATTTCCTTCCCCTGCTTCCCCCCAAACAATCAATTCACCTCCTCTACTCCCCTCTTCCTTCCTTCCCTTGCTCGCCCTTCCTCCCATATTCCTCCCCTTTCCCCTCCACTTCCCATGGTTCCCCTCAGTGATCTTTCCGTCAACGAGCTTACAAGCAGCATACCAGATAGCTGCAGTGCGCTTAGTCAAGTTACTCATCTGTAAGCATACGGAGTGCGGCATGCAGCGTTTTCCTTCAATGTGGCTTGATGGTGGGAACTGGCTGTGCCTAATGTGTGAGCTGCGTACGACTAGCGTACGACCTTGATGCATTCACAAGCTGAGTGTATTCATAAGAGAATTGATACACATAGAGTGAATCAATCACTATGGTATGTGTTTGCAAAGAAGAAACGTCTTGACAGATAAGAACTTCTTCCACACAAGCAACCACACATTTTTTAAGTATACAGCTCCTGAGAAGGCTTGAGAATCTTAGCCTCTTTGAGAAACTTAACATATATGTTGTACTCATCTTCTTACCTCATGCTGCCTTGCATGATTCCTCTCAGTGACCTTTCGTACAACCAGCTTACAGGCAGCATCCCTGCTAGCTTCAGCGCACTTGATCAACTTGCGTACATGTAAGCTACCCGAATGAACTGGATGTGACACCCCCCTTCAAAGCAACCCATAGATATGTTTTCCAGACACTGCTTCATGGTCCATTCGAGACATGATAGATTCTTTTGGTGTCCTTCCCTATCCCTATACCACCTTTCTAGCTTCTTGCATTTCGCTCCTTCCCAGCCTTCTGCATCTCAGCAGGGTATTGGGAACCTAATGAAAAACACTAGTTGTCATTGTAGTCTTAATCCTCCTCTTCTTCCTTCTCCTCCTCTTCCTCCTCTTCATTCTCCCCCTCATCCCCCTTCACCTATCCCTCCTTTGCCCCCTCCCCCACCCCGTCCCACTCCCGTTCCCTGTTGCCTCGCTCGATTCCTCTCAGCGATCTTTCGTACAACCAACTGTCTGGCAGCATCCCTGCCAGCTTCAGTGTGCTTAATCAAGTTACTTATCTGTAAGCTGAATACATATTTGACTGCCACATCCACCGTCAATGTGGCTTGATTAAGAGCTGGCCACTTGTGCTTCATGCATGACCTGCGTATATTCAACAAGCAACATGCATGCATTTAGGATGTTACGCACACACATTGAGTCACCATGGCTTCGCTCGAGCAGGGTTGGACTCAAGCCAAATGGTCCGACGCGCCAGCTCGACGCGAGATAGGGGTGGCTCAAGGCTCTAGGATGAGCCGAGCCTAGCTGAAGGGCCCGATGGCTTGTCACAAGCCCCATCGCGGCTCGTTGACGTTCTCAGTGGCTTGAGCAGCGCGGGCAAGAGATGTCTCAGTGCGGCTCAGGTCTGATATTCTCCAGACATCTCAGCCACGCGGACCTGGGCCTTGGAGAACGCGGATCTGATATTCTGCAGACATCTGATGTTTGTGCCTCACGCGGACTTTGTGAGAATATACATTCTTCACAAGTCATTTACGTCCTCACTTCTGTATGTATGTATACAGCTTATCAGCAGCTTTGAAAGTCTTGCCATAATGAGACTGTTGTATTTGAATTTTTTATCATACTCTTCTCCTCCTCCTCCCCCCCCCCCCCCCCCCCGCTCCCCCTTCCTTCCCCTGCTCCCCTCCAAACACTCAATTCACGTCCTCTACTCCCCTCCTTCCTTCCTTCCCTCACTCACTCTTCTCACCCTTCCTCCCATATTCCTCCCTTTCCCCCTCCTCTTCTGATTCCCCTCAGTGACCTTTCGGACAACGAGCTTACAAGCAGTATACCAGCTAGCTGCAGTGCGCTTAGTCAAATTACTTATCTGTAAGCTTACAGAGTGGATGGCGTGCAGAATTGTTTTAAAGCCTAATGTGTGAGCTGCGGACAACTAGCTTATGGCCTTGATGCTAGACATGGTTAAAATGCGATGCGATATCGCATCGCATATTGTCATATCGTGCGCGATATCGCAGCGATGCAATATCGCATCGCTGCGATATTCTGTTTCAAAAATTGGAATCGCATATCGTTTTCTAGGGTGCGATTTAAGAAAATATCGCACCCATAAATGCGATATATCATGCGATGCAGTTTAATATCGCATCGCATTCAGGGGTCGGAGGAGAAAAGCAGAACGACAAGGCCGGCTTTCCTAGGTGCGTGAGGAATTAGGTGAGTGAAGTTTGACGGGAGAGTGGGATATTGTGGCCCCTCTCTGATGTAGAGCGTGTTAGATGGGCAGGGGTTGGATTCTGTAGATGCGGAGGAATTCAGTGCGGTTGAAGTGGTGGAAATTGGTTGGAGTTCCAACCAATTGACTTTGTAGGGGTCGAGATTTCAATCAACCCCCTAAATCCCTTTAACCGCACACCACCATTCCATCCAGAAAATCCACTCGCTCACCGTCCACCACTGCCCATGTCTTTTATATATATATATATATATATATATATATATATATATATATATATATATATATATATATATATATATATATATATATATATATATATATATATATATATATATACCTCCAACCAACTCCCCTCCCTCAACCGCACTGCACTCGTTTTCAACTAAATCTCCAACCCTTCCTCTCCAAGCTCCTTATGAACACCTCCCCGTCAATTACGCCAACCCCAAACAGCCGTGCTCAATTTCCGCACGCCATTACAACCAGAGAACCCTAAATTGTTCAGAGCCCGCACCCATGTTCCCCCCCCTTTCTGGCGCAATTCCGCGACGCGATATGCGGATGTATGGCACGCAATATTTTATTATCGCATATCACGTTTTATCATGCTGACAAATCCGTGATAAATGCGTGATATAAAAAAAATCGTGCGATATTATCGCATCGCATCGCTGCGATAAAATTGAGAAAAAAACGAAAAAAAAACGGAAAATCGCATTCGCAAAATGCGATAAAACGCGATGCGATGCGATATACCCATGCCTACTTGATGCATTCACAAGCCAAGTGGATCCATCAGACAATTGAACACATAGATCAAATCACTATGGTATGTGTTTTGCAAAGAAGAAGCATATACGTCTTCCAACCTACTACACTTGCATCAGTAAGAATTCAACCTCACATTTGTGAAGTATACAGATCATAAGAAAGCCTGAGAATCTTAGCCTCTTTGAGAAACTTAACATATATGTTGTCCTCAGCTTCTTACTCCCCCTTCCTCCCCTCATGCTGCCTTGCGTGATTCCTCTCAGTGACCTTTCTCACAACCAGCTTTCAGGCAGCATCCCTGCTAGCTTCAGTGGCCTTATTCACGTTGCTTACTTGTAAGCTCTCAAATAAATTGCATGCACACATCCTTGATGGCTGAATTCGATGAGTCAAGTCCCGAGCCCGACATGGTGGTTTGGCTTGAGCCAAAGTGCGTTGCGAGTCAATCTGCGAGCTGCAAGTCAATCTGTGATTGAACTTGCTAGCCGGGTGAGGAACACGAACGAGCATTAGGAGGAAAACGAGCTGTCTGGATCGTGATGAGCCGAACTTGCTCAATTTGAGCTCGATTTGGATGGGTCACGAGCCAAGCACTTGGCCGGCTTGGCTTGTACAGAGAATGAGCCAGCACTGGTTCGATCTCGGCTTGGCAGATCTATCACCTCTCCTTCATGATTGCATTAGTATCACATACGTTTGTATGCAGGTTCCGCATCTCAGAATTTTGTCCTTCCTCCTCTTCCTCTCCCCCTCTCTCTCCCCCCGACGTCCGCTAAATGTTAGAAACAGAAAAGTGGGTTTTTTTATGAAGGGAGAGATATTACATAGCCATGGAGAGAAGCTAGGTAGGAAAGATTGGAAAGGAAGGGGCTAAGTGCCAATCACAAGAGAGGGGGATGCATCAAAATATATTGGACCACAAGTGGGAGGACCACAGGTAGGACCACAAGTGGGAGGGGTGATCCAACAATGGCGAACCACAAGTTGGAGTAGGGTTGAGCAAAATACCCGCGCAGGCCGGGTACCCGGACCCAGATCCGCTTTTGGGGCGGGTCGGGCAGGATTCCCGAATATTACCCGGCGGGTCGGGTGCGGGTAACCCGGGCGGGTATTCAATACCCGTTACCCGAAACGTTACTCGACACGTCGGGTAATGGGTACCCGACCCGAAATCGGGTAGCGGGTCTACCTGACGGTAGACATGGGCATGAGCCGAGCCTGGCTCGGCTCGGCTCGTTTGGGGTCGAGCCGAGCCGGCTCGCCGGTCGAGCCGGCTCGGCTCGCCTCGAGCCGGGACCTCAGGATTCCCGGCTCGGCTCGGCTCGTCAGGGGGGCTTGTGTAACCTCTCAAGTAGGCCCACTGTTTTTGGGGACTCTAGTCCAGGGGATGTGCCAGATTGTGATTGTGAACTACTGCTGCTCTGTTTGGGGCGCAAGTACAAGCCTAGGTGAGCTGAAAAGTCACAATAATTTAAAGTAGTACCATGGAAGTTAAAAGAGTGCCCCTTTGCCAACAGCATGTTCTCAGCGCAACCAGACGCAAGCTAGCAACCACCCGACCACATGGTTTAGCACGCAGCCTACAGCTCCTCCACCCCGAGCTTCTCCGTCTCTTTGATCCACCCTGGCTTTAACAGGGAGACACCAGGGTGCGTGCGAGTCCATGACTTGAGTGTCATAGTGGCTCGCACGCTCTCCCCAGACAACCTCTGCCTATGGCGGGTGATCACATTTCGGCTCTGACTGAACACACGCTCACTAGCTGCCGATGTTGCTGGTATGGCCAGGTAATCCCTGGCCATAGCCTGCAACACCGGCATATCAGACCTCTCGCGCCAGTACGCCAAGGGGCAACCCTCATGCAACTCCCCCTCGATGTAACGATCCACCTCATCCCGCACCGTGGCCCCCCGTCGTGCGGAGCGCGCTAGCAGCTTGGCGTGGAGAGACTGGCTCAAGCCACCCCGCACTGGTACACCACTAGCATCTCCACCCTCAACCTCCCCCCCCCCCAAGCCCACCCCCCCTCTGCCCCCGTCCTGTTGCTGTGCCGCTTGCTTCAGCCGCTTACTGTACTCAGCAAAGCGTGCCCGTACAAGGGTCAGCACCTCTGACGGCTTGAAGCTCGCCACAGGCCTGCCCTGCGGCTCCTCCTCCCCTCCTCCCCCTCTCCCCCCTCCTCATCCTCCTCGTCCTCCTCGTCCTCCTCGTCCTCCTCGTCCTCCTCGTCCTCCCCCTCTGCGCCCTTCTCTGAACCCATCTCCTCCTCCCCCCCCCCCCCGCACCAGCGGCACGCACAACTAGCGCGCGTGAAGACCCGGCTAGTCCGCTTTCCACGCCCACCCCGTTTGCCCCCTCTCCCTCTCCCCCAGAGCGGGTGTCCGTCCCTCCATCCACCTCGAAGAACACCAGCCTCATGCCGGGGTTCAGAAACGTCGCCACCACGAGCTCATCGCTGCTGCTGCAATAGTACCGTTCCAGCATGAGGAAGGCGACCCCAACGAGCTGACGGCCGATGAGGCGGGGCGACGGCCATGCTTGCAAGGTGTCCATCAGTTCGTTGAACTGTGGCACAACAGCAGATGATGTGGGGTAGGAAGAGCCCTCGGCCGCCACCGTGATGGAACTGAACGGTACCAGGAACTCCGCCAGGACATCCAACGTGTCCCAGTGCGCGTCGGTCAGGCGCAACGCGACGTACTTCGCGCGCTCTTCGGCCGTCTCTCCCTGGGAAGTGAGCAGGGGTGCATGGGGGGGGGGTTGTGGGGATACAATGGGTGTGGCGGCATGGAAGGAAGTGTCACACAAGGGGGCGCGTAGGAGCATCCGCGCACGCAATGGAAGCGGTGGAGTGGGCTTTTGTAAAGAGGGTACCTGCTCCACTGCGAAGTGCGCAGTGAGGGATCGGCGGAGCCTCAATGCACGCGCGACCATCTCGTGCGTGCTGCCCCAGCGAACCTCGCTGTCCTGCACCAGGCGGAGGACCGTCCCTTTGAGGACGGGATCGGACCGCTGCTGCGCCTCAAATTCGGGCGTGCGCCTCTCACTCCATCCAACAAAGGTGGCAATGTCGCGTAGGAGCTTCAGCGGCACCCTCACCGCTGGCAGCTTCAGCGCACGCTGGACTGCAAGGTTCAGGATGTGCGCCAGGCAGCTGCATGTATATACGAAGGCGCACAGGGGGGGGGGGGGAGAGGGGGGAGGGATATCCTTAAGGACCCTCCATGCCATTGAGAGGGGAGGTGTGGATCGTCTGAACAGCAGCACACTATGTGGACAAGACAAGGGCTGCAAGCTCGCCACGCACTCACCGGAAGTGCATGCCATCTGCGAGGAGAGGCGTGGCCAACGCATGACAACCAAGACCGGCGAGGCGACGCATGGCGGCTGTGTTGCTGCTGGCGTTATCCGTCGTCACCCCCATGCAAAACCCCACGAGCTCCCACTCCCTAATGACTCGCGCGAAGACGTCTGCAATTAGCCGCTCTGTGTGGCGCGCTTCCAGCTCCATAAACTCCAGTGTACACCGGCGCTGCTGAAAATCCCTGCTAGTGAAGTGCGCCGTCACTGTCATGTACCCCCGCCTGTTACCCCTGGTCCATATGTCCGTTGTGAAAGAGACACGCCCGCTCCCTGAACCCGCCCCAAACTCCGACTTAACCACTGCCCGTGCCGCCTCAGAGTAGAAGCGGAGGTCCCTGGAAACGGTGGTCCGGTCGGGTATGGGGATTGCGTCGCCGCATTGAGGGTTGCATACAGCCAAGAGGCGGCGAAACTGCCAAAAGGAAACGAGAGGGGGGGTGTGGGGTTTGGGGGTTTAGCGCCATGCGGGTGGGGGGGGGAGGAGGTGGTGGTGGGGCGGGTGGTTCTTTTGGTGGGGCAGATCCAGTAGGTTATAAGGGGGGGGGGGGGAGTTGGTTAACACAATGACCACAAGCTTAGGGAAGGGTGTGAAGGGGGGGGCTGGTGGGGTGGCTCGCTTACCGCGGGGTCCTCTACGATGCGAAAGGAGCTGTCGGTGCTGGCGATGAACTCGACAATCGCCTGACGCAAACGCGGCTCCGACACACGTGGGCCAAGGAACCGGTCCATCGTGGGCTGCCTCGTGTCCGCCGCTGCCGGGGACAGGGACGGGATGGTGGCGCCGGGGGGGGGGGTGCGGCCAAGTCTTGGACCACTCGTTGAGCACCTTCCCATGAGGGACATGTGGGTATCCCCCCATCGGAAACGACTCTCCTGGCTCAAGACCCTCGACCACGCGTCGTTGCCATATGTCCCAGTGTGGGCGATGGTGTCTCGCCATATGCTTGGCACCCGTGCTGGTCTGGCTGTCCTTGAAGCCCATCGGCTTCTCGCACATCTTGCACACTCGCTTTCTCTCGCTCCCCAAGAAACACTCTGCCACACGCTTGTTGCTCCTCTTTGCTCCAACCTTACGGTTCTTTTTCTGTCTTTTCCTTCTCCCCTCCTGCTCAACGCCTGGGTCCACCTCCTCAGCCCCATCCGCACGCCCTCCCCTGCCTTGAAACCCGACGGACGGAGCAGCGCGCTCCTCCCCCTCCTCCCCGCCCCTCCTCCCCCCCTTTGCGCCTGTCCCTGGCCGTCGCCCGACCCCACTCCCTTCCTGACGCTGCCTCTTCCCCCTGGCGCTCTCCCCCCCCCTACTCCCACCCGTTCCCTTCTTGGACTGACCCTCCCCCTCCCCCTCCTCCTCCTCCTCCTCCTCCTCCTCGTCCTGCATCACCAAACCCTCCATCTCGTGCTCATCATCCTCCTCCTCCTCTTCCTCCTCCTCATACTCGCTGCCGCTAGATTTTCCGCTCTCCCGCTCCTCCGACTCGCTCCCATCCCTCTGATCGCCACCGCTCTCCCGGCTGCGGCGAGCTTGTGCGCGCTTGACCCTCCTCCCCTCCCCCTGGGCTCTCCCCCCCCCTCCCCCTCGTCCCATCCCCTGCCGAGAGAGGAGGAAATCTGTCCACTCCTCAGGCATGTGGGGCATGGCTCCACCTCCATTGGTCTCATTCGCCCTCGAACTCACACCCCCCTGGTCCCCCACCGCCTCATCTGTGCCCGCTACACGATCCCTCCCCGGTCCCCCTTGCCTAGCCGCCGTTGCATTGGTCTTTGCCATGTGCAATGCAAGATCGCGCACCCCCAAATGCGCGCGCTTAACTTAATCAAGCGTTACCAAGCGCCCTACAAGGCTACAACCCTCAGCATCGTGGGACTAGGCCTAAACGGACGCACGCCCAAGCCTAAACCGTAGCGTGCGCATACCACGAGCCAAGGCCTCGGTGGCGCGCCTAGGGCTGTCGCGCCAAGGCCTCGGTGGCCCTAATTATAAATAGTAGTTCTTACATCTTTAAAAAATAAAACAAGGTGCTGCAAGTTTGGTTCTGGCTGAGGGCGAAAGACTAGGGCGATAGGCTAGGGCGTTATGGTAAGATTAGGGTTGGTTGACGAAATGGGCTTGGGGGGGAGTTTATCGATTTGAATTTTGACTGTCGCGAAACCCCCCCTTACCCGAACCGCGAGCCAGCTGGCTCGAATTCGAGCCATTTCGAGCCGGCTCGACTCCGGCTCGCCTGGTGTCACCTGCGCAAGCCGAGCCGAGCCGCCGGCTCGAGTCGAGCCGAGCCGAGCCGAGCCAGGTGTGGCTCGGCTTGTGCCCATGTCTACCTGACGGAACCAGCGCGACATTGGTCGCGCTGGTAGAGAAATTTCAGCAAGGGTTTAGGTTACGTGAGCTGCTAGGTCACGTAGAACATTGCAGAGTGGCTGGCAGGGGTTGGGTTTTGTAGATCCAGATGCATTCAGAGCAGTTGAATTGGGGGGAACTGGTTGGAATTCAAACCAACCAAATTTCCCCAATCGAATTTGCAACCCAACCTGAATCCAACCAACCGCACAGCACCACATTGGTTGGAGTTCCAACCAATTGACTCTGGGGGTCAAAATATCAACCCCCCTAAAACCGCACACAACCCCATCCCAACTAGAAAACCCAACCACCTCGCCACTCAGGCCCTACGCACCACACCACCAGAACTGTAAAAGATCTGGCGCACCTCATACTCCCTCCCGCAACTCACGTTTTTTAAGCGCTATCTAGGTCGTAGGTCTAGCCCAATAGGGCAGGAAAACACTGGTAATACTACCTGCTTTCCAAGAAAACCAGGTCGTATATACCCGGACCCGCCAGGCGGGTATTAAATTACCCGCCCCCAAATCCCGGGTCCGGGTATTGGTCCCGGGCATGTTACCCGACTCATACCCGACCCGAAAATACCCGACCCGAAGTCGGGTGTAGCAAAACCAGGTCGGGTCGGGTAGATACCCGGTTTTGCTCATGCCTAGGTTGGAGGTTGGTGCAAATGTGGTGGACCATAAGTAGGAAGGATGGTCCAATAGTGGTGGACCACAAGTTGACAATCCAAATTGTGGTGCTCTGCATAATTGTGGTCCTTGGTGTTTGGGGGCTCCTCAACACACATGTGCACCCAACTCTGGGAGTACACATTGTATACATAGACCTAGCAGTGTATAATCTAGCACCCTCCTCCACTACCACATGCCTCCACATCTTCCCTCCCTATTTTCCCCCTCTTTGGTCCAATCCCCCCTCCCTCCCTCTCCCGTCCTCGCAATCCTCGCTCTCCCCTCCTCCCCCTCCTCCCTCTCCCTCTCGTTCCTTGTTGGCTTGCAAAATTCCCCTCTCAGTGTTCTTTCGTACAACAAGCTTTCAGGAAGCATCCCTGCTAGCTTCAGTGCACTTAATCAAGTCACTTATCTGTAAGCTGCCCAAGTGAATTGTGCGTGACACCCCCCTTCAACAACGCTTGATGATGGGAGCTGCCTGTGCTGATTTTGTGCGCCAGGCGTCTAGTGTATGGGCTTTGATCTTTGACGCATTCGAGGTCATATATGACCCATCACATGCATAACCCGATTAACGAGGCGACCCTAGGTGAGGCAAGCATCCTCGCCCGAGCATCGAGTACTCGGTCAGGTATTACTCGGGCCTTACGGGCGAGTAAAAAAATGCTCACAAGCAAGAAATGCTCCCTGGCACGACCGCCCGCGCGGATCTGATGGTAAATGCCCGCTTTTATCCTGAATTGGCCCTTGCATTGCCTTCTCATTTCCTATGCGTTGATCTTGGATCTGCTCCACCCCTTGTTAGGAGCTTGAGGTACAATGCCCTCACTGGGCTGATTCCCCCTGCAATTGGCAACTTGAAGAACTTGCAGTATCTGTGAGTATCTTCTGCCAGAAAAATGAGTAATCTACGCCACAAGAGGTAAATTCTGCACAGACCACATCAACGAGCCATCCTCAAGTGTAATCTTTGCACAATGCGAGAATTGAGGAAGGGGTATTATATTCTCACCACGCTGCTTCTCATCTATCGGGAGATTTTTTTCGTTCAATGTCATTCACGGGAGCTCCATTTCTTTTCCAACATCAATCCCGGAAGCATCTCAGCAATTTCCTTTCACCCTAATTTTCTGTTAAAGACTTCCAAAGCTCATGAGCCTCTTTATGCAATGAATGGTTTCCACTGTTATCTTTGTATCGTCTTACTGGATGTCACTCATTAATTGCATCCCTTTTTGAACCAAACCATTGACGCAGACGGCTTCAGTCAAACGTCCTGTTTGGGGCCATCCCAGATTCTATTGGATACCTTACCAACTTGAAAGTAATGTACGAAATCAGCTATTTACCCAAGTTCTGCTCCCTCCGTAGGTATGTCATGAAAGCGTGAACAGTAGTCTGAAGCATAATATGCCCTTCTTCTTGTTTGGAGCCTTTTAGTAGATACATTTTCTAGGGGTGAGTACTAGTAGGCGTCTTCTTGAATATTAGTTATTTACTCATTGTCTTTAGTTCATATTGTATATGCGTTGCACTTATTGTACAGCTGCAAATCTTTCAAGTCTCCTAGTACCTGTCCGTGGAAGCAAGTGCTTTTCTACTCCATTCTGCATCCCCTGTGCTGTATTCAAGACTACCTACCTTCTCGCATTGCCACTTTTATGCCCTCAGATCGGGGAGTTTTACACACCAATCAGAGCAGATCTGGGCAAACGTTTGACAAAAGTCAATTAATTTAACCCTGAAGGCTCAGGTAGCGTCGGCCCGTCGACAGGTCGCCAGCCTGCGGGCCAGGGTCAGCTAGTCATCAACAGGTCGAGTTGAGGCCCGAACCCGCCTGCTGACAGGACGAGCAAGGCCTTTGCTCTGATAATGTTCCCTCTCCCTCTCTCAACCCCCCCTGTTCTCATGCTGCCTTGGATGATTCCTCTCAGCGATCTTTCGTTCAACCAGCTTTCAGGCAGCATCCCTTCTAGTTTCAGTGCACTTAGTCAAGTTGCTTCCCTGTAAGCTACTCAAGTGAATTGCACTTGACATCCACCTTCAAGACTGCTTCAGGGCTGATTGCGACAATTTGAGCCTTCAGGCTTGATCCGCTGGCTCATCTCGAGCCGAAGTGAGCTGGCTTGGCAAGCAGCGAGCTGCTCTTGAGTCAACAAACAGCTCAACAGGCAAGCCAGGCGCGGCTCACCGACTCAACATGCTCGTTGATGACTAACAGGTAGGGCAGGCTAAACCCTGGCAAGAGAGCCATGGGAGGAACACGAGCTGGCTGTCTCATGAAGATCAACGAGCCGGGCACTTTGCTGGCTTGGCTCATACAGACGATGAGCCAAAGCTTGCTCGAGCTTAAGGGGTTCGAGCTTGGGTCGGCCCATGTCTATCACCTCCCCTTGATCATTGCATTTGTCTCACATATTTGTGTATGCAGATTCCGCATCTCAGCAATTTATGAGGATCTTAAACGAAAAAAGGAGTTATTATCTATGTTGCCTTCCTCCTCTTCCTCTTCTGCCTCTTCCTCCTCCCACTCCCTCCTCCCCCCCCCCCCCCCCCCCCCCCCATCCCCCCTCCCCTTCCCCGCCTGCCACCCCTTCTCTCCTACCACCTAGCCCCACGCCTCCCCTTTGTCCACTCCCGCCCCCCCTCCCACCTTCTTTCCCCCTCCCCTAATTCCTTGTTGCCTTGCATGATTCCTCTCAGCGTTCTTTCGTACAACAGGCCTTCTTGCCTTCTTTCCCCCTCCCCTAATTCCTTGTTGCCTTGCATGATTCCTCTCAGCGTTCTTTCGTACAACAGGCCTTCTTGCCTTCTTTCCCCCTCCCCTAATTCCTTGTTGCCTTGCATGATTCCTCTCAGCGTTCTTTCGTACAACAGGCCTTCTTGCCTTCTTTCCCCATCCCCTGGTTCCTGGTTGCCTTGCATGATCCCACCTTCTTGCCTTCTTTCCCCGTCCCCTAATTCTCTCAGCGTTCTTTCGTACAACAGGCTTTCAGGCAGCATCCCTGCTAGCTTCAGTGCACTTAATCAAGTTACTTATCTGTAAGCTACGCGCCTGGCAACCCCTTTCATTATCGCTTGATGGTGTGAGCTGCCTGTGCTTGTTTTGTGAGCCGCATGAGTTTCACTCATGGATTTTGATGCATATGTATGGGTACGCTTACAAATAAAAAAAAATGAAGGTCGTATTCTCCAAGCTCCCATGTTGCAACCTGTTAAAAACTGAGTACGGCAAATTGTGGTGTATGGTAAGGGACAAACGGGACTACTCAATGTTAAGGGTTTTTTTTATCGAGGGAGGGGCGTATGCCATTTTACCGGCGCCATTCATGCTGAGTACCATGGTGTATTAGCTAGTGGAATGCGGTAATCGGATGTTTGCCACACGTCATGCATGGATTCATGTTCAAGTTATGCACAACAAGTAGTATGTTGGATCAGAAACATGCACACAAGAAGTTAACACCTCGTGCCTGAATCCTGACCATTCTCATTGCACACGCGTGATTGAAACGAACAACGTTTTGGGAGCAGAAAAACTATTTTATCTCATTGTGTAGCCCGAAAGTCAATTTTGTTTGTGGTCACCCAATCAGTTAGTTTTGGGAATGGCACCAAGACCAGCATGATTGGACAATATCGTGAGAGGCCCCAGGCCCGAGGGACTGCAGTTGCTGAATTTCAGGGTGTGTTTAAATTTTCGGCCCGACAGTTGATGTGTCTTGCAATGTATCTGAACGCCGAGCTTTGTCGGTCTCACAACTTTTTTGTTGATAGCAATTGGCAGTGAATACTCCCGTCCCGTAGGTATGGAACAGATAGTTCATCTGCATAGTTGGTTGGCAGTCGATCTGACGACTTGTGATAGGCCAATAAATTTTCCACGTTGGATTTTACCCCGGTTTCTTTCGGCTGTGTGTCATAAAGGTTGCTCATTGGTCCATGGAAAAATCTTAGAGTTTCGCTCAGTCACTCGTATTTTGCGCAACGTCTCGTCTCGAATTCGATTGGCCAGTTTTGTGACCTTGTTAGCCATACGGGCACTGTTTAGATGACACACTGTACCCGTGGAGTATATCGGATTGCTTAGGAAAAATGGTATATGGAGTAGTTTGGGAAATCTGTAGGGGTGGTTCCTAATGGATATGAGCTGTACTTGGGTTGTCGGACGGCTAGAACACTCAAGATGGAGAATAAACGATGAAAATGTGGAGCAAATTGAAGGAGAAACAAGGAACGGTTGAACCTATGTGAGGAAGAGTATGCACTAAACGATCTTTTCTCTCTACACTAAAGTTCCCTTGCATTGCCTTCTCATGTCTTATGCGCTGACCTTGAATCTGCACCACCCCTTGTTAGGAGCTTGAGGTACAATAACTTCAGTGGGCCCATTCCCTCCGCTATTGGCAACTTGAAGAACGTACAGAAACTGTCAGCATCTAGTACCTAAAAAACCATTATTCCACGGTACCATCAATACTTTCTCCATTCTTGCACAGAATGCATCACCGAGCCATCCTCACGTATCATCTTTGCAGCAAGGCATGAAGAGAGAAAAAATGTATGGATTTTCTTGCCTCTTTGCTTCCAACATGGCAAGAGACAATATTCATCCAGTCTCAATGATTGAAACTTTACTGGTATTCCATCAATCCTGGAACCATGTCAATGCATTTTTACCTGCATTTGCGTTGAATGCCTCCAAAGAGCATGATCCATCGTTGAGCCTCTTGTTTGCAACGAAAGATTTCCGCTGCTACCTGTGTTGCCCCTTACTGGATGTCATCTTTGAATCCCATTGGAACCCTTCAACCATTGGATATCAACTTTGCAGACGCTTTCAGTCAAACTTACTGGCTGGGACCATCCCACAGTCTATTGGCAGCCTCACCAACTTGAAAGAAATGTATGAGATTAGCTCTTGACTTCAATTAAATGCGTGTCGGGTATACCCGACCTGCCAGACGGGTACCCAATTACCCGGTATTAAAATGCTGGGTCGGGTAACAGACCTCCAAACATTACCCAGAAATTACACGACCCGACCCGACCCGGACCCGATCGCGGGTAGGGCAAAACCGGGCCGCGTAGGGTAATGTCCCGGTTTTGCTCATGTTTAGCCTGAAGCATATGTTTTTTGTTTTGTTTTGTTTTGTTTTGTTTTTTTCCCTTGTTTAAGTGGCTTTTAGTACATACATTTCCTTTGGCAGCATGCATTAGTTGGTGCCTTTTTAGAGTCTTAGTTCTGACTCTTCCTTGTCTTTATGCATGCTCTGGTGTTAGCCGTAGATATGTTGATGTCAGCCTTGTCTTGTGTCACTATTTTGATCAATAACCATATTTCCCATGCAAGCTATCACACACATTTTACACATATATGGGATTGTGTCTTGAAGTGCGTACTCAGAGCCATGCTGTCCTTGACTTTCCCTTTGACTTTCTATCACTTTCCTTCCCTACTTTCGCCTTCTTGATGGCAGATGTGTCATATCTGGATTCATACAATTTCTCAGCAGCTTTTACAACCTTTGCTATGATGATACAGTTGTTGTCACTCCCTTCCTCCTGAAGTTGTCTTTGTCCTCTTTTCCCGTCTTCCTCCTCTCGCCGGTTTACCTCCTCCTCCTCCCCCGTTTCCTCCTGCCCTCCTCTCCAACCACCTAATCTGCATCCAAATCTCCCTCTTCCCCTTCCTGGCCTCTTTGCCCCATTTCCATCCCAACCCCCCCTCTCCTCCTTCCCCTTCATTGTTGCCTCTCATGATTCCTCAGGGATTTTTCGAACAACCTGCTTTCCGGCACCATCCCTGCCAGCTTCAGTGCACTTCAGCAAGTTACTTATCTGTGAGCTACGCAATGGATTGCTTGCAGTCCACATCCACCATCAATGTGTCAATTACATGTGCTACATGAAGGAGTTGCATATGTCTTGTCTGTGTCTTGAAGCATTTGACAAACAAGCCAGCAGCAGTAACCATTAAAAAAAAATCATACACAGACTGAAGTAGTATGCCATGTGTGTTACCTGAGCTAGGAAGTAAGTATCGGTGGTAGTATTGCTTTTAGTAGCAAAAAAAACACCTTCTGTGTGAGCTAATCAATTTCACATAATAGTGCTCCAGCACACATGTAAAGGGCTGTTGGAAGGATGCTCCATGTTTCCACCTGAGTTTCCCTCTGCCATGGTACATGGTTTTGCGCCATGGTGCCTACTCAGAGCGCTTTTGGTTGTTCAATACATGATAATTCCGTACTGTCCTCCCCTATTTCTCCACTTTCCTGCTTGCTTTGCAATCTCCTTCGCATACTGCACGTCTGACTCCCTTTCATGATTCCAGGAGCGTGATATCTGTACCTTTACAGCTTATCAGAAGCTTTTAGAATCTTAGCCAGGATTATATATTTTTACATTTATGTTGTGTTCCTCTTCCTCCTCCTCCTCCTGCTCCTCCTCCTCCTCCATCATCGGCTCCCCCCTCTTTCTATTTCACCCATCACTTCTTCCCTTTCCTCTTCTCTCTCCTCCCCCCATCCCTACTCCACTCCTCCTCCTGAACCCTCCCCCCCTTCCCGCTCTCCCCCTTCTTCCCCCTCCTTTGTCACTACATCTCCCCCTGCCTGTCCCTCCTTGTTACCCTTGTCTCAGAAATCTTACAAGCAACCATCTTTCAGGCAGCATCCCTGCTAACTTCAGTGCACTGAATCAACTTGCTCACTTGTAAGAGAGTTGCATGCGACATCTGGCTTCAATATAACTTGACTGTGCGTGAGGTGCTGCGTACATCTATATCATGGGGTTGATGCATTTGACAAACCAACATTTATTTCGGCTCATCAAGAGGAGTTACACATGGCTTGCTTGCCAATCTTTTGCCCATCAAACCCACAACAGCAAGCATACTTTCCTGCCAGATCCGTGCCAGCAAGGGGGTTTTGTTGTAGTATATGTATGGGTCTGGCTAACATTATTTAGATACAGTTGTGGTTTGCCTATCATAACAAAATTACATTTGTTGCTGCTGAATATGTTAAAAACAAATCACACAGTTTATGGCTTGTGGCTACAAGCTATGGAAAGCTCATCATAAGTTACCACCTCATATGCGCCTGTGGGCCTTTCACACACCAGATCCGCGAGGGAGGTCATACTTTGGCAGCCTATTTAGCTGTCCGCAGCACCTTCATGAACTTCACGCCAAGCATGACGCATATCCAGGATAGATTGTAGGATGGGAGGTGGACATTACGTGGCGGCATATTTTGACATCACACAAGAGTTTTGGTCCGTTTTCTTATTTATAAACCTACAGTCCTACTATGCTTGTCCGCAGCACCTTAAGCCCACAATTCCGTTTTTTTCCATATAATGATTTCCTTCTCCATCCTCTGCTTCTTATTTAATGCACTCCAGAGATGTTGGGCATAACAACATAAGTGGCCCAATACCAGCAGCATTGTGCAATCTTTCAAACTTGATAACACTGTAAGTGCCAATGAGCACCTTGACCCTCCCCCATTTTTTAGCAATTGACTTCCATCAATCATACTTAGCACAGAAATGGTTTTGGTTCGTTCATTCTGATGTTGCCTTACTTACAAGTAGAAAACTGCAAACTTTGTTTGTACCTAGAAGAACCCTTCATTAAAGCAACCTCCAAGGCTACCCGGGTACCCAGTCAAGGGTCAGCCCCTATTCAACAAGTTGTTGTAGACAGGCACCAAGAACGACTTGGTTAGGCCATCCGGATTGGAGGGAGGTTTCACTAAGATGATATCAAACAAAAACAGAGGGAGCTGGAGGGAGATGAACACAAACAGCTAGCTTGTTGCTGGTTTTTTTTCACTCTTGCCCCCTCTCCCATAAGTGTTAACCAAAGGAAGGTCAATGAGAAGATGAACACAAACGAATACCTGAGGCTAAGGCGGAGAACCCAGCCACTCAGGATGGGCCGGCCTGGTGCCAATACTTGCTCTTCTAGGTGCCATCACTGCACAGCTGCTGCCCGTCTGCACCAGCAGGCCCTGTTCCCCCTCTCAAGCAGTCCACTTTTTTATTACGGATACACGAGATGTAACTTGGCACAACAAAACAAGAAGTGCGAACAAGATAGTGACGTGCTGTTTACATGACATCCAAAGCATCACCCGATTGCTTGCCAGTAATGTCTGTCTTTGTATTCCTTGTTGCCTGTCTGACTGGTGACTTCCTTCTGCTAACCCCCCCTCTGCGTTGAGAGTTGACTTCAGGAAACTGGCTGAGAACAAATTATCTGGATTTATTCCATCAAATATCGGCAGCATGGGCAGCCTAGGGAATCTGTCAGTATCATGTACATTCATTGGCATTCGTTTATGGATAAGAATCAACAAAGCTTCTGCATACATATGTCATGGGGCATGCTTTTCCATCAATGTCATCTCATTACAGCTTGCACAAGTAATGGGTCGTTGTAAAAGGACGGGTGAAATATTAGCTTTCATAGAGTCTTGACATGTGGATTTGGACCTCTGTGTGTTTGCTATGGTCTTCATCGACAGTGGATGGAAACATATTCTAAACTAAAGATTGACATTGAATAGAAAGTTCAGTAAGAAATCCAAAGGATGTATTGCACACAGTTCATCAGAGATGGTGGTTGAATGTCCGTACCCCTGCCATAAACCCTTGGCGCAATAGCAACTTTTGTAGGTGATATTTTTTGCCTTTCAGTTTCTTGACCTGGAAGGCCGAATTGGCCTCGAGTATAGTATACCAGCATACCAGCACTGTTTTTTACCAGTCTTTTGCTGCTGGATGCCTCCAAAGGTTTTGAGGCATCTTTGAGCCTCCCTTGCTTGCTGTCTCTTCGATACATCGCATCGTCCCCTTTCAACCCTTCAGTCTAGGCTTGAGCAAAATACCTGCTCGGGACGGGTACCCGGGACCCGGATCCGCTTTTTGGGCGGGTCGGGTATCCGGATTCCGGAATATTACCCGGCGGGTCGGGTCCGCGTTACCCAGGCGGGTATTCGATACCCGTTCCCCGAAACGTTACCCGACATGTCGGGTAACGGGTACCCGAACCGGTCGGGTAAATAATACCCGAGGTCGGGTATTCCACCAAGACATGGGCGTAAGTCGCGCTGTGTTTTAGGTTTTGCAGCACAACGGTTTGGGAGGTGAGGGGGGACGAGTGGAGCATTTGTGAGGAGAAGTCGGAGTTTGTAGATGGGGAGGAGTTAAGTGTGGTGAATAGACATGAGCACGAGGCGAGGCGAGGATTCCTCGCCGAGGAATTCCAACCATCGCCCCCCAAACGAGGCGAGGCGAGGATTCCTCGCTGAGGAATTTTGGGGAAAAAAAATCCTCGTCCCTCGGGTTTAGGGGGCGAGGATTTTTTTCCTCGCCCCGAGGGAAAATTCCTCGCCCCGAGGCGAGGAATCCTCGCCTCGTTTTGGCAATTTTGTTGGGAATTAGGCAGAAATGTACAAAACACCTAGAGGAACGACTGTTTTTGTACACCTTTGCTACCAAAGTCGCCCCCAACCCCCGGGCAGCACGAATGTTAACCATATGGCTAGTCCAGTAGGGCAGTTTATGCCATGCACAGCCCATGCTTTCTAATTTGCGCATGACCAAACCCCGGCAGACCCCCCATTTTTGGTGTTTGTACCAGCGCGCTCCGAGGCGCGCTGGAAAAAAATGACACGAGGAATTTTTCCTCGCGAGGCAAAAATTCCTCGTGAGGAATGAAATTCCTCGACATTCCGCACCCGAGGAAACCCGAATCCTCGTTTTCTCGGCGAGGCGAGGCGAGGAATCCTCGGCGAGGAATTTCGCCGAGTTTGAATCCTCGAATAGCCGAATTCTGAGGCGAGGAATTCCTCGCCTCGTTGCTCATGTCTAGTGGTGAAAGGGGAGGAGTTGGGTGGGAGTTGGAGAAAAGGTTGGAGTTTGTAGATGGGGAGGAGTTAAGTGTGGTGAAAGGGGAGGAGCTCGGTGGGAGTTGGAGAAAAGATTGGAGTTTGTAGATGGGTAGGAGTTCAGTGCGGTGAAAGGGAGGGAGTTTGGTTGGAAATGTTGGAGTTTGTAGACAGGGAAGTGTTCAGTGCGGTGCAAGGGAGGGAGTTTGGTTGGAAAGTGGAGTTTGTAGACGGGGAGGAGTTCAGTGCGGTGAAAGGGAGGGAGTTGGGTGGTCAAAATTCGACCCCCAGAAAATGCGACTCTCATTTGAGAGTCCCGTTTTCAGAAACCCTACCTAGTCTAGCCCGTTTTTAGGATGCCCACTAGTAGGTGGCGGGTATCAATACTCGCTTTTCAGGGTAACAAGGTCGGGTATACCCGGACCCGCCAGGCGGGTATTGTATTACCCGTCCCCTAAGGCCGGGTCCGGGTAAGGGTCCTGGGCATATTACCCGACCCGACCCGACCCGAAAATACCCGACCCGAGGTCGGGTATTGCAAAACCGGGTCGGGTCGGGTAATTACCTGGTTTTGCTCAACCCTACTTCAGTCTGGTGTATTAATTTGGACTTGATGATAACCATTTGATTAGACCCCTCGCTTTCTCCCACAAAACCCTTCTCATACTACCACCTCCACCCTCCACACCTTTGCTACCCCCCCTCTCCCCCCCCCCCCCCCTCCGACTTCTACATTTGACACCCCCTTATGTTGGCTTGCACGATTCCACCCAGTGATCTTTCGTGGAATAGTCTTTCAGGGAGCATCCCTGCGAGCCTCACTATGCTTAGTAAAGTTTCATACCTGTGAGTTGTGCAAGTGAAGTGCATCCTACATCCATTTTCAACTTAAATTGAGGATGAGAGCTACGAATACTGAATGTGGGAGCCGTATACTAGTATACGGAATAGGTTCGTCTAGCACTTGCTTGGATGTAATGTGTACATTCATTCATGTGCATTTACGATTTGTGTCTGCTTATGCTTGCACTCTTTCCGTACAAAAATATAGCCAACATATATTATTTGGCTGCCAATAGGGTGCTTCTGGAGAGGGTGGTTGTCCCTGTCTGGTCCATTCTCCTTTGACAGTAGTAACACATTAAAAAAAAAAACAAAAAAACTGTGAGGCCTTGAAGTTTGAGGGCGAGATTGGGTGGAGTGAGGAAATTGCCTGTCATGTAAAATCTAAAACACAACTCCAACGGACTGCCAGAAATATCTGCCCTTTTCTTTGTTGCCTCTCCTTTCTGTGTCCTCCTTTTGCTAACCCCCCCCTATGCACGGAGAGATCTCTTCAGAAGTCTGGCTGAAAACAACTTATCTGGATCTATTCCACCAAATATTGAGAGCATGATCAGCCTAGAATACCTGTCAGTATCATGTACATTCATTGGATGGCAGATTATTCAGGTACTGACATGCGATGATAAGATGAAAATGAAACAGGGTCGCATTTTTCTCAGACAAAATACTTCAAAACTATGTAAGTCAGATGCAGGGTGTGGTGTGGAGAGGATGGGCCAAGGGAAGAAAACATGGTGACCATGACTACAACAACACTCAGCATTTGAGGAGACTACCATGCATCTAAATCCCTTCTCTCACCTCTCCTCCTGAAGGCAGAAAAAAACAACTAAGCAAGATCGCATATACCATCAGTCACACTGATTTTACTGGAAGAACTTCATTTCCCTTGATCTCCAATGACCTGGCAATAGAGAAACACCTGGAAAACAACACAAACAGGAGTATGCCAACATAGACATGGGCACAAGCCGAGCCACACCTGGCTCGGCTCGGCTCGGCTCGACTCGAGCCGGCGGCTCGGCTCGGCTCGCGCACGTGAAATCAAGCGAGCCGGAGTCGAGCCGGCTCGAGCTGGCTCGATTTCGAGCCAGCCGGCTTGCGGCTAGGGAAAGGGGGGTTTCGCGACTGTCAAATTTCAGATCGACAACCCCCCCCCCCCGCCAATATTGTCTGCCAACCCTAACCTCAAGCTGTCGCGCTAGTCTATCGACCTCAGCCAGCCATATTTAAACCGGCAGCTCCTCCTGATAGTTTTGTAAGATGCAGGAGCAGACGATCAGCTAAATAATATGGATTGTCCCCTATACTAGAGACCCCAAACCCTGTGGCCCCAATTGAGAGCCCGCACAAGCCTCCCTGACGAGCCGAGCTGAGCCGGCTCGCCGGCGAGCCGGCCCCGGCTCGACCCCATTTTCACGAGCCGAGCTGGGGATCCTGAGGACCCGGCTCGAGGCAAGCCGAGCCGGCTCGACCGGCGAGCCGAGCCGGCTCGACCCCAAACGAGCCGAGCCAAGCCAGGCTCGGCTCATGCCCATGTCTATGCCAACACAACCATTTTAGTAGAACAACCTTCCCAAGCAAGTCGAATGTCACAAAATTTCTCGGTGTTTCACCCCCTACCTACCCTTGGTGGGGAATAAACTTGTGAACAATCAGCTGTAGGCTGATGTACCTTGTGTTATTTGTATGATTTGTGTAACTTCATGTCTACGAGGAGCATTTCAGAATCCATTGAGAGCCTCACCAAATTGAGATGTTTGTACATGTTTTCTTTTTCTTTTTCACGGAGCAATTGAGATGTTGGAAGGGAGGCTGACAAAATGTGATGGCACAAGAAGACATCACACACCTATTCTTATTCACTAACCCAGTTCTTAGGCAGAAATATGATCGTCTGCAGCATCTCCAAGCCCAGAAATTACTACTACTCACCATGATTTGCCCCCTTTTTATCATTTGTTGCATCTTACGGGATGCACTCCAGGGATATTGACACGAACAACATAAGTGGTCCAATACCGGCAAAATTGTGCAATCTTTCAAACCTGACAAAACTGTATGTGCCTCCTGACTGCAATGAGCACCTTGAGCCTCCCATTATTTTAGGAAATTGGATTCAATGAATCATTCCTACTGCACAATAAGAGCGTGGTTGGTTTACCTTTGTGAAGTAATTGCCGTAAAACTTGATTGGTACCTCAAGTAGACATGGTTAAATGCGATGCGATGCGATATCGCATCGCATTTTGTCATATCGTGCGTGATATCGCATCACTGTGATATTCTGTTTCAAAATTTGAAATCACGTATCGCCTTTTACGGTGCGATGTTAAAAAAATATAAAAAATTGCAATCGCAAAATGCGATAAAACTCGATGCGATGCGATATACCCATGTCTAACCTCAAGCCTCTCCTTGAGGTCACGCCCAAGTAGGCATGAGCAATGAGGCGAGGATTTCCTCGACTCGGAAATCATCCTCGCCTCGAAATTCCGGGGGTCGAGGCAGGATTTCTGGGAAAAATCCTCGCGAGGAATCCTCGCCCCGCCCCGCCGAGGATTCGAGGACTCGACAATTCCTCAGCACTTTAGGGGCGAGGATTTTTTCCTCGCATCACTTTTGTGCGGTACAAACTGAATCTTGGTGACTTGGCTCAGAGAGGCCCCTTTCCTTTGTATTAGGGTTAGCTAAGGGAGAGCAATTTCGAAATAACAAAGGCAGGGTTCAGTGTTCCGGGCAACGCCCCCCCCCCACCATGTCAAGGAATCCTCGCCTCGGGTCGAGGATTTTTTCCTTGAGGCGAGGATTCCAATCCTCGCCCCTAAAACCCGGGGGTCGAGGAGGGAATTTTTAGAAAAATCCTCGGCGAGGATTCCTCGACCCGCCTTGGCTGGGGCGCGAGGAGGAGATCCTCGGGTCAAGGAATCCTCGCCTCGCCCTGTGACGTGCTCATGCCTACGCACAAGGGTACCTTCTCTATCTATCTTTTTTTATTTAATATCTCTCTTCCTCCTCAATCTGCTTCCCTCTTGGTTTCTCGAAGTAGCTCGTATCCACTCCGCACGTTTCGTATTACACCATACACTATAATGGCGCAGACTGTGCACGCACTTATGAGATCGTGCCTTTAGCCATTGACAGCATCAGCGTTTGCATCATATTTTCCATGCAAACATACCTTTTTACTGTAATCCCTATCTCCTTGACTTGCACGATCTCAAGTACATGTGTAAAAGGTGGTGCGGAGAGTATTTTAGGTTCCCTCTATCATGGGATTGCGTTCAGTATTATGATCCCACGACATGTTTTTGAAACGATAATGTACATTGTGGGAAGGAAAACATGTTACCCTTTATGAGGTGACTTTTGAGTCGACTCAAAAGTCACTTGGAAAACATGTTACCCTTTATGAGGTGACTTTTGAGTCGACTCAAAAGTCACTTGGAAAACATGTTACCCTTTATGAGGTGACTTTTGAGTCGACTCAAAAGTCACTTGGAAAACATGTTACCCTTTAAGCATCCTATTCGTGAAAAGCTCTCCAACTTCTAGCATCTCTGTAAAAGGCAACAGTTGCCCACATTTATGAGTCATTTCCTTCCTCCCCTATTCCCCTTCCGTGTCACGTTCTCTTGTAAACCTCTGCTCTTGTGACCTTGTCCCGTTTGTCTTGAGATTATGGATGCAGGGATCTTGGTTGGAACCTTCTTTCTGGTTCAATTCTTGATTGCATTGGAGACTTAACCAAACTACAAACATTGTACGAATATATCCAAGGTTAAGTAACCATATCTTGATGACAAGATGAACGAGCTGTTCTGATGCAGACCTTATTTCAGCATATCAGCAAAAAAAAAGGCATCTGAAAGCTCTGTATCATTCACCGAAATGCAAAATTCATCTTCTTGCCTTTCACCTTCCTAGAATCACAATTCACCAAGCTAACTTGCATTTGCTCATTGCATTCCCTCGAGTCGGTTTGATCCAATGTTTTCCCTGCTAGGGCATTATATTCAAACAAATTTACGGGCTCCATTCCAGCAGCAATCAGCCAGCTCACAAATATTGACCACATGTAAGAACCACATTCCTGTGAGTGCAATCACAACTAACTGTGTTAGAGCCACCAAAATGGATTTACAGATTATGAAGTTAGTGTGCGCAGCCTCGTGTGTACAATCTCCTGGTAGTATTTTCTAATGCAGGATACAGGGTGGACATTAATGTAAGCCCAAGCAACAGGACCTGACCTGACCTGACCCAGGGTTGTAGTTGGATCTGGTCGACCCTTTCCCTGGTTTGGCCTGAGCGGATAGGACCAGATCGGGTTCGTTCTGACCCATGGCCAGACCAGCACATTTTGGCAGGCCAGTTCCGGCCCATCGGGTCCGGCTGACCCGACCCAAAGTCGGGTCACAATCCGACCTGAAGGCCAAAATTTGGGAGACATCGACCTAATTTGAGCTATTTTGTCCCTTGTCAGATAGATCTTGAATTTGACTAGCTCCCAACTCAACTTTTCGCCAACACCCAACTCAACTCAGTTCTATTTTTGCGAACAACCAACTGAACTCAAAATTTCACCAACACCCAACTCAACCCTTCTCATTGCAAACATCCAACTCACATCTCGAGAATGCAGAAGTATGAGGTGAGCATGTGGGCTAGGAAAGACAAGGAGAGTGCACTGTATGTCGAAACTATGAGGTAAGTTCCTAATTTGGTGCCCCGCCCTCGGCCGGTTTTGGGGCTGGGTCGCCCCAACCGGCCACAGGCCAGGGACATCCAGACGACAAAACCCGGGTTCAGGCCAGGAAAATTCCACGGTCGAACCGACCCCGACCCGGCCTGACCCAACCTCGGGTCGAGCAAAGTCAGGTCGAGTCGGGTCAGGCCGGGTGAACGCTCATGTCTAGTTTAATGATGCTCCTCATGATATGTTTGATGTTTAAACGTCCTCATACTGTCTGGAGCTCTTAGAAGAGCTTCTAGCCTGGGGTGTTGTCTTACCTTACATCGTTTTCTTGAAAATCATATATCACTTTCCAATGTGTTGCTGTATACTCCAACCAACTGTACGAATTTGCTGACAGCACTTTTTTTTCCTTTGTTGTCTTTGTGGCCATGATTCTTGCTATGTTTTCCTTGCGATTGCCTTAAGATCTGTCTCAAGGAACAACTTAATTGGCTCGATACCAGCAACGATTGGCCTCTTACAAAAACTCACCTATTTGTGAGCATTTGAAATGTCATAGGCAAGTCGATTGGTAGAAAAGAGTGTCGCATGGCTGGGAGGTTAAGGAAGAAGTAGAAACCTCACACACAGTGAGCTGAAACATGCCATAAGCTCTCATTCTTTCCTCCCTTCCACCATTGAAGCTCTCTTATGCACTTGTACTTGCTCTAATACCTCACCCCCCCCCCTCTCCCCCCCTCCCCTTTCCTTCTCCCTCTCCCCTCCCCCTTATGAACGTTTTTCCCCGTTTGCTTTTAACGTTTTCTTCTCTGACATTGTTTCTGCAAATGCAGAAACTTCGTTCTTAACCGTCTTTCAGGGACCATCCCAGAATCTGTTGGTGACCTCAGTAACCTGGTGCAATTGTGAGTGGTGCCTCTCTGCAGATTGCTCAGCTTGGATACCCCGTTCCCACCATTGTCATTGTTTGGATTTTTTACGGAGCAAGGCCTAAACAGGAAGCTGCTTCAATGATGGACACATAAACCGATTGATTCATTGCGATCGACTGGCACATCTGTGTGTGCACAATTCCAACTGCCCCTTGCCATGGCTTTTCCATGGCCATGTGCCATCTCATCCTCTCATCAGATACCTTATAAACAACTCCTTAACTGGCTCCATTCCTAACTCCATCAGCAAGCTCACGTGTCTCGAAGCATTGTGAGAGCTCTCCCTGCTCACTTGTGATCCACAGGCAGAGTGAGGATTTAGCCAAATGGGCTTCTGCTCATATGTTTAATAGTTATTTGCTTATAACCGGTGGCCTAGTTAAGTTTGGATTTGAGAGAGATAACCTGCCGTAAAGAGTTTTACGATTCCAACCCGTCGTCCGTGGATGTCTATCGTCCATGGATGTCTATCGCTCGTATGGAGACAGCCAACCCAGCCTCTCATAAGATATTGCAAGGATGTCATTGATGCCAAAGCTCGTCATATCATGCCTTGCATATGCTTCTACTCATGCCTATGCTTTCTTGTGCTTGAGCAGCTTTCAGACCTTTTATGACCTGTGCAGATTACCTCCTCTCATGTGACCAACTTGAGGCACACTGATAGTCCCTTGCGCATGAGTGACACAATCAATACCCAATGCTCCCAAGAATCCAAGATTTTCGAAACTCCTACTGTGTTGGATGATACCCAGAGATCTCGCAGACAACAATTTAGGCGGCTCAATACCGGCTATAATAGCCAATCTTCACAACTTGACAGATTTGTGAGACTTTCAAGTACAAGCGCAAGATGCCATTTGCCTTGACTATTCGTTTTGCGTCATTTGGACATGGCAAGGATTGTTTTCGAAGTGCAAGTCCTGCTGTATGGTTCCACTGAAACTCCTGTGCATGCATAGGGCAAACACTTGCTAGATAGACCAAACACTTCAAGCATAGTCACTTCACATGTATCCTTCCCCCTAGTTGATTCTCCCCACACGTTCTCCATTTTCCTACTATAATCTTCTGTTCTGTGTTCGGAAATCTTATGATTTTTTGCAGGGACTTGGGTTTTAACGACTTCACTGATTCAATCCCGTCCAACATAGGCAGCATGAGCAGGCTAATTCACATGTAACTACTTTCTTCTTTCACTTTGTAGTAAATGTCATCTCTTACAGCAACCACTTGTGTACAAGATATGTGCCTTTGTCAACGTTTATTGACTGCTGCAGTTCTCTGGATCACAACAAGCTGTCTGGAGAGCTGTCTCCAATACTGGGAAACCTTACCGGCCTTCAATCGCTGTAAGATGGTTTTCCATCAACTCCTCATCGGATGGCAGCTCCGGGATCATCCACAAAGGTGGTGCTGTAAAGCCTGTGGGATGAGGTTGTGAGGAAGGGATTTGGACTGAAAGGGGTTGTGGAAAAGCCAAAATTATTGAAGAATGGAGGTATGCTTGGCACTCGCATAAGCCCCAGGGCTGTACACAGGGCGTTTGAGCTCCCAGATGGCACATGAGAGGAAGGGACAGGGAAAGCCAACTGGACGGTCCATGAAAGTTTGCTCATGAAAGGTCAATAAGAGCGGTGGTCTTGGTAAGTTAAGCTTCTAACGAAATACCCAGCCAAGGACGTCACACGATTCTAGCCTGATGTCCATGGGCCATGGGAGATGGGGGGTCGCTGCCATGGGACGTGGGCCTTGAGCCAGGGTCCCAGCTGGCCTGGCCGAAGAAGAGGAGGGCCATGCCAACACAAGGCCCTCCCCATGTTCCATCCACCCTACCTATCAGCATGTGTACTTTCTTTCTTCTACAATGTGCATTTCATGCTCTCCGTCATTGGAATACAATGACTACAGCTCCGTGTTGGTTGTTATTGTTGTTGTTTGTTTGTTTGTTTTTTTTTTTTTTTGCACTTCCATTAGCTGCTATCCTTCCTGGCTTGTGTTTGCCCCAAAAACACGGGCAGGTCGACAACTGGAAATGCAGTCACCTGCCCACCTGAATACAGCAGCTGTGTGGTGAAACAGAATCACGCAAGCCCTTTCTGCCAGAAGTGCTCTGCATTTTGCACTACTTGTGGCAGGCCAGCACCAGGTGAGACAAGACAGGTTGACCAGATTGTTGGTTTCGTCTCTCTTGAAGCACTGCAAGTAGACATATAGGTGTGTGTGTGTGTGTGCATGCGCGAGCACTCGTATGTGTGCGTGCTTGCGTGTGTGTGGGTGTGGTTGTGGGTGTGGGTGTGTGTGTGTCTGTGTATGTGTGTGTGTGTGTGTGTGTGTGTGTGTGTGTGTGTGTGTGTGTGTGTTCTATTTGGGGACCTTTTTCTGGCCAGCTCAAAGATTAAATGTTGGTCACACCATGCACCTCCCACTTCCACCCATTTTTCATGTGCATTTCCAGAGAACCCAAGCACTAACAACAGTGATAGTAGTAGCAGCAGCAGCAGCAGCAGCAGCAGCAGCAGCAGCAGCAGCAGCCAGTCCTCATCTACAACATCCAGGAGTGGAGGGGACGTTTCAGTGGGAGGCATCATTGGCATTGCCATTGCTGCAGCTGCCAGCCTTCTTCTCCTGGCTGCCACACTGCTCTACTGCAGGCACAGAAGGCACAAGAAGCAGCAGAGGCAGTATGGTATGACAAAATGACAATAGGGTACGGACACATACACCAGTTATGGGGGGCGCATTCACTAGCTGAGGACCATATATGATTGGGTGCAAATTTACTTGTCCCATTCGCGGCCATTCAAGTACAGAGCTCAAGCCCATGGCGTACTATTTCTTGCTGTCTTTTAATTTTGTGGCCATATCACCCTGTGGCCCTTGCACATCTTATCCCATGAGCAGAATTAGCTCACAGCATAGCTTCATCGCTGTGCACCGAGTACTCTCTTGCCGAAGTCCTAAAAGCCACCAACAACTGGTCGAAGGACAACCTACTTGGCTCGGGTTCCTTTGGAGATGTATACAAGGGGTTGTCTCCCCACGATGACACCACTGCATGGGCTGTCAAGCGAGCAAGGCTGATAGATGCTGAGTTCCAGAAAGAGGTAAGGAGATGCATTGGCAAAAGGAGCAGTGCCAGGGTGTGCAGATGTCCAATTATCTGTTTTACCTCTCTCCCTTCAGGTGCATCAAATGGCGGACAAGAACCATCCCAACATTGTAAAGCTGCTCGGTTTTGCTGTTGGAGGAGACATAAGGACGCGGGCAGAGCAAGTCTTGATCTACGAGTTTGAGTCGAACAATGACCTCGAGAAGTGGTTGGATATCAGTACGTAACTGCTTTATTTCTCTCCACATTTACGTGTGCTTCCTCATTCTATGACAAGATGTATCATCTTGCATTATTTACGTACACTCCATGACATGGGAATCGTGGGATGAAACCCTTGCAGACGCCCCGTTTCCTTTGAGCTTGAGGCAGCGGCTGGACATTCTCATTGGTGCTGCACGTGGCTTGGAGTACCTCCACAGCTTTGGCATTGTGCATCGCGACATCAAACCCGCCAACATCCTCATTTCAGAGAACATGCAGGCAAGGATTATTAGATAGCAACACCATGCGCGGTTGAGTAATGGTTCTTAGGCAAAGCCTACAGATTTTCCCGTTTGAGGGATGAGCTGTAAGGTCCAACGTTTGCTTCATAACGTATAAAAGCACGAACATGAGCTTTAACTGCCACAGCACTACATGTGCATCACTACACCACTACTACAAGGGTGCGATGTATTTGTGTCACACCATAAGCCTTCTCCTTTTCCCCCATAATTTACTCTCATTGCTTCGCCATATCATTGTCAGGCTAAGATTGCAGATTTTGGGCTTATGCGGGTGGAAGAGGGAACGACAGTTGCCTCCACTCGAGTGATGGGTACACCGGGCTATGTGGACCCCATTTATGTCAGAACATCAAAAGCAACCACAGCCTCAGATACATACAGGTAACTCCAAAAGCCTCAATGCTCGCTCTATTTCTACAAGTGATCTCCGAATATGCGCATTCAAATAACATTTCAATCAGCAAATGTCCAGTCAGCCGCACGATCCTGTACCCCTGCATTACTGTGAAGAGGTGTGAAGAGCATTACTGGATAAATCTGAGGAACTGTTGGATCCATGCAGACCAGGGTCCACTTTAGACTAATTGTTGCTTCACCGTCTTGTTGCTGTGCAGCTTCGGTGTGCTCATGCTTGTCGTCCTCACCGGTCGTAAGCCAGGGCATAAGATCAAGAGAGGGACTGGCCAAATCATACTATGGGTGAGTGCTGTGGGTGCTATGGTGAACGCAAAGGCAAACATGATCTGTGGGGATTCAACTGTTAGAAACCTGCTCTATTCTGGAGGTAAAGTCAGATCAACACGGGAAGGATGACACTGTGTTACAACGGGTAAGCATTATTGAACAGTGGCTCCCTTCACTATTTTGCATGCTTTCTGCCCTCCCTCAGGTGGAGCAGAGCCTCTCTTCAGGCAGCATAGCAGCCCTCCAGGACCCCAGGATGGACCCTGCCCCTGAGGCTGCTGTCCTGCACATTGCCCAGCTGGCAGTCAACTGCACCGTGAAGCGCACTGCCAGCCGCCCAAGCATGGCTCACGTTGCCAACGAGCTGCAGGAGATTAAGGATGAGGTGGTGGGGAAAGAGGAACGGGGCGTAGCAGTGAAGGTGGATGCACAGGTTGAGGAGATTAAAGGTGTGGCCGGACCTGCTAGGAGTCTGGGTACGGAGTTGCGGTACCTCGCTGGCATTGTGGAGGAAGATCTTGCAAGGCCTTTTTGATTAGTACAAAGGCAATCAGCACTAGAGGAAGGGTGCAGAGATGGAGGGTGAGAGGATGTGTACGTTGGAAGGAAATCGGGATGGAGCACTATTAAGTTTGGTTATGGTTGGCGTGGCATTTGGCACACCTCTTCGTGGATTCTTGGCACATTACCTCTAGCTGCAAGTAATATGTCAACTTCATATTTCCACGTTAGCTCAGCGGCATAGCCAATCTCGCGCAGACAGGTTTTGGTTCGCTTTGGCATTTGCATATATTTTGCATAGGCTATCTTTAATCTCATTGCAACTCACTAGCATAATATTCTACGTTGGAGCTTACTGATTGTGCTATATAGGCAACTACCGTAATGTCGAGAGACCCATTGGTGTCACGCAAATGTTATGATTGGTGGAAGTTCATTTGCCCGACTTTGTTAGTTGTTCGGTTTGACAGCTAACTGGCTGGAGCCGTCAGTTCTTCGCAAGACCCGAGGCAATTGTTTTCCAGCCTCGGATCTTCCTGCTTAACCCTCGGGTCCAATAGTCGCTGCGGAATTTACCCTTACTATAAGGGTGGGGTACCAGCCTACCAGGGCCCAAAATTGGTTTAGGGGCACCCTTGGGAAATAGGGTACCGCAAAAATTTTGCCCTGTCTCCTAGGGTGGGATTTTCAGCACCCATTGAAAATCAGGGTGAAATCGCAAAAAATCGTCAATACCCTGTTCGAGTCAGGGTACTACCGTATGTCAAACATGTCTATTTGTTATGTTTGTATAGACTGTATAGGGTAGCCTCTTAGAGGGTACAACACTTAGCTATATTGTGTGTACTCTCCCCCTATCACTATCATTCAATTTTCTGATATGGTATCACGCGTAGGTAGGATCCCCCCCCCCCACCTACCGCTTCCGCTCATGCCCCCTAGCGCCCCTCCTGGGCCCCGTCGCGCTCCTCCCAGGCCCCATCGCGCTCCTCCCAGGCCCCGTCGCGCCCCTCCCAGGCCCTCTAGCGCCCCTCCTGGGCCCCGTCGCGCTCCTCCCAGGCCCCGTAGCGCCCCGTCGCGCCCCTCCTGGGCCCCGTAGCGCCCCTCCTGGGCCTCGTCGCGCCCCTCCCAGGCCCCGTCGCGCTCCTCCCAGGCCCCCTAGCGCCCCTCCTGGGCCCCGTCGCGCTCCTCCCAGGCCTCGTCGCGCCCCTCCTGGGCTCCGTCGCGCCCCTCCTGGGCCCTGTAACGCCCTCCCAGGCCCCGTCGCGCTCCTCCCAGGCCCCATCGCGCTCCTCCCAGGCCCCGTCGCGCCCCTCCCAGGCCCTCTAGCGCCCCTCCTGGGCCCCGTCGCGCTCCTCCCAGGCCCCGTAGCGCCCCGTCGCGCCCCTCCTGGGCCCCGTAGCGCCCCCTCCTGGGCCTCGTCGCGCCCCTCCTGGGCTTCGTAGCGCCCCTCCTGGGCCCTGTAACGCCCTCCCAGGCCCCGTCGCGCCCCTCCCAGGCCCCGTCGCGCTCCTCCCAGGCCCCCTAGCGCCCCTCCTGGGCCCCGTCGCGCTCCTCCCAGGCCTCGTTGCGCCCCTCCTGGGCCCCGTAGCGCCCCTCCTGGGCCCCGTCGCGCCCTCCTTGGGCCCTGTAGCGCCCCTCCCAGGCCCCGTCGCGCCCCTCCCAGGCCCCGTAGCGCCCCTCCTGGGCCTCGTTGCGCCTCTCCTGGGCCCCCCAGTCGTGCCCGCCCGGCGCCGTCGCCGCCGCCCGGCCCCGTCGCGCCCGCCCGGCGCCGTCGCTGCCGCCCGGCCCCGTCGCGCCCGCCCGGCGCCGTCGCACCCTGCCCGGCCCGTCGCGCTCGCCCGGCCCCGTCGCAGCCGCCCGGCTCCGTCGCACCCGCCCGGCCCCGTCGCACCCTGCCCGGCCTCGTCACAGCCGCCCGGCCCCGTCGCACCAGCCCGGCCGCCGTCCCGCTCGCCCGGCCCCGTCGCACCGGGTCGGCCCTGCCGCACTCGCCCGGCCCCGTCGCCCCAGCCCAGCCCCGTCGCGCCCGCTCGGCCCCGTCGCCCTGTCCCGGCCCTGTCGCATCAGCCCGGCCCCGTCGCGCCCGCCTGGCCCCGTCGGGCCAGCCCCGGCCCCGTCCTCCTCACTGGTACGGTTCCCCCCCCCCCCCCCCCCCCCCACCCCGCCCTGCTCCGTGCCGCCCTGCACCGCACTGCACCGCACTGTACCGCACAGTACCGCACTGCACCGCACTGTACCGCACAGTACCGCACTGCACCGCACTGCACCGCACTGTATCGCACTGCACCGCAGTGCACCGCACTGCACCGCCCTGCACAGCACTGGACTGTTCCTGATGGCGGCGGAGCTTCGCTTCGACGCTGAAGGTCAGCCCCTAGAGTTCGAGGCGTGGCTTGCCGACCTCCGCCGCCAACTCACTGGCCAGCGGCAGGATGGTGAACCGCTTTCCGCACACCTTGACGGTACGCTCCCCTGCCCAGACCCTCCTGCTATTCTGCCCGCTGACCCCACACCCACTGAGCGTGAGTCTACTGCTGCCACTGCCCGTGCGCGCTCTGTCTGGCTTTCTCGCGATGCTGTCGCCCAGCTTGCCATTAGCAACGCCCTCCCCCCGTCCGAGCGTCCTCGCTTTAGGTCCCTCACTACTGCTCAGGCATACTTAGATGCTGTCATCAAGCGCTATTCCACCCCTCCGGCTGCCTCGGTGGGTCGCCTGATCCTCCCGCTGCTCTTTCCTGACCTTGCTTCGTTCCCCACTGTCTCTGACCTCGCTGCCCACCTGCGCTCGATAGAGGAGACCTGGCGCGCCGCCTGCACTGACGCACAGCTTAGAGCCCACCAGCCGCCCATTACCTCTACCCTCTACCTGCTTGCCACCCGCCTCCCTGACCGCCTTGCTGTCGCCCGCGACCGCTTCCTTAGTGTTCACCCCGCAGACCTCACCCTCACTGACTTTGTCGACACCCTGACTGTGATAGAGACCCGTCACCGCTCCATCGCCTTGGCGAGCGGTGTCGTGCCGGTCCCTATCTTTCAGGGTTGTGCCCCTGCTCAGTGTACCTTCTCCGACGGCTCTGCCGCAGTGGCTGAGACTGCTGCTGCAGCGCAGGCCCGTTCGGGGAAGGGTCGCCGCCCCAAGGCTGGGCGCGGCGGAGGGGGCGGCGGGGGTGCGGGCGGGGGTAGTGGTGGGGTCGGGTCGCCTGGTGCTGGAGCGGACGAGGGGACCATGCCCAGTCCAGCTGAGTCGCCGCCCCTGCAGTTGCAGCAGCCGCAGCAGCCGCCGCAGTCGCAGCCTTCGCAGCAGCCGCAGCAGCCGTCGCAGACGCGGCAGACGAGTGTTCTCCCGCCAGGGTGGCCCGGCGCTGGCGGTGGACGGGCGCGTGGTGGTGTGCCGCGAGGTGGCTCTTCCGGCGGGCGTTGTCAGTACCAGATCCAGACCGGTCCTCGCCGCGGTTTCGTTTGCGGTAAGATCGGTCACTCCACTCCCCGCTGCTTTCGTCGCCTGGACGACCTCTTTCGTCAGCGTTTCGGCCCGTCGCCAGACCTCCCGGACTGGCACAGTTTGCTTAGTCGTCAGGTTCAGATCTTTGATATGGACATGGATGCCATTGTTTCTGCTCTGCATGTGATGTATGCTGATGACTCTAGTGTGCTTCCGACTTATTACTCACTGTTGCCTAGTGTAGGTGTGCCTAGCTTAGCCCCCCCTGCTGCGTCAGGCGTAGGATCCCCTGCTTTGTGTAGTCTTGGTGCTTCTGCCGTCGTTCCGTCGCCAGACCCCTCGGCTTCGCTTTCCTTCACCTTGGACTCTGGCGCCTCTCGGTGTTTCTTCCGCGACTCCACCACCTTGACGCCGCTTCCTGTTCCTGCTGCCGTTTCTCTTGCTGACCCCTCCGGCGGTCCGGTAGTCGCCCGCAGTTCCACCACCCTTCCCTGTCCGGCGGTTCCTTCGGGCTCTCTTACAGGTCTGCATATCCCCACGTTCTCCAGGAACCTAGTTGGTGTCGGCTGCCTCCAGGACCTTGGCGTCACCACTACGTTCCCTGGTCACGAGCGGTATGCTGTCTGTACCGAGGCCGCCACTGGTGCCCCCCTGTCCACGTTCCCCGGGACCCGGTGTCCGGCCTGTTCACTCTGGACACCGTGCCCCCCCCGGCTGGAGCGCCCCCTCAGGTGGCTGTGTCTACCCAGGTTGCTGCTGCGTGCTCCTGTCGCTCCCTCACTCACCCGACCCTCCTGTGGCACCACCGCCTAGGTCACCCTGCGCTCCCGCGTCTGCGTCACATGTCCCAGCACGGTCTTGTCCTTGGTCTCCCAGGTTCACTCCCCGCGTTTCCCTCCTCCCCAGCTCCACCTTGCACGCCTTGTGTCGAGGGTCGGCTTCGCCGTGCCCCTCACTCCTCCTCGTTCCCCCCTACCGTCGCGCCGCTGCAGACCCTGCACCTGGACGTCTGGGGCCCCGCCCCCGTCCCTGGGCCGCGTCGCGAGCGCTACTTCCTTGTGCTTGTCGACGACTTCACTCGTTACACCACAGTCTTTCCCCTGGAGCGCAAGGCCGACGTGCCTGGCGCCCTCATCCCCTGGCTTGTCTCTGCGCGTGTCCACCGCGGTCTCCCTGTCTTGCGTCTTCACTCAGACCGTGGTGGCGAGTTTGCCTCAGGTGTCCTTGGTCGCTTTTGTCGTGCGGAGGGCATCACCCAGACGTTCACCCTACCGGACTCCCCACAGCAGAATGGGGTCGCTGAGCGACGCATCGGCTTGGTCATGGAGGTCGCTCGCACCTCCATGGTCCATGCCGGTGCACCCCATTTTCTGTAGCCGTTCTCTGTGCGCTACGCTTCTCACCAGCTTAACCTGTGGCCGCACCCTCAGCAGCCGCAGGTTTCGCCGACCCGTCTGTGGACTGGGTCTCCTGGTGACGCGTCTGCGTTCCACGTCTGGGGCTGCCTTGCTCACGTCCGTGCCTCCGGCACGGACAAGCTCACTGCCCGCACCCTTCCCTGCGTCTTCCTCGGTTTTCCCCTTGACGCGTCCGACTGGCACTTTTACCACCCGCCGTCTCACCGCTTCTTTCACTCTCGTGACGTCACCTTTGACGAGTCCGTCTCCTACTACCGCCGCTTCCCCCACCGTGGTCCCCCGGTTACCCCCCCCTGTTCCTGGTCACCCCTTCCCCAGTAGTCCCTGCCCCTCCTCCTCCTCCTCCCCGTCCCGCCCCCTTTGGTGTCTCCCATGTCACCCCCCTTCCGTCCGTGGACCCGGTTGAGGAGTCTTCTGACTCTGGTGGCCCTCCGGTGCAGTCCTCGCCGGCCGCCCCTCCCCAGGTGTCCCCTCCCCAGTCCCCTCCTCCGCCGTCCCTGCCGCCACTGCAGCCGTCGCCGTCGCCGCCGC